CTAGGTAAACAGGGCAACAGTAGGTGGAAGGAAGCTTGCCCATCCATCTCACCCTCAAACTGATCAACGCTTCTTTCGGTTGTAAGCAGAAAGCTCTTCCAGTGAGCTACAAGTCACCTCCAGTAAGGAATAGGGATAAAGATTACAGTACCTGGAAAATGAGTTAACCAAGTCTGATACAACCAGGGTGAAGGTAATTCCAGTTACTAGATCATGAGCCCTTCACTTGCCCTTCATCTTATGATGAACTTACTGTAGCAACTGCAGCAGTACACTGTTGCGAAGGAGCAGTCTGATTGTGTAATGAATATTTGATGTAATCCATCTAGTGATGGTTGAGGATGCTGCCACGAGCACTCTTGCAGTAAACAGAGAGAGAAGGATCAACATGGTGTGCTGCTTACAATAGTGAAGACAAGTTACGTTGCTGAAAAATCTTTTTAACGGGACGTTTTGCACTGTGTAAAGCTTGATAAAGCTCTTCACGGAGAATATGCTTGTCTCACTACTAAACTGCTTCTGCAACTTGTTGCTTGTCTTCAGGGGAAACTATTACTCCAGCGATGAACAGTACTGTACGTGCTTGCCCGAGTCTTAAATTAGCATACTCTTAACGTGGCTTTGACTAGCCTTAACTACTTTAATTTTAGGTCAAGCAATTTAAAAGATATACTATTCTAAGTAACTTGGTAATGATTTCAAAAATATCTCAGTTTTACCGTATGTCATTAAATTTTTTATGCAGGAATTTACTAGAAAATGCCTTTCAAATCAGGTCTACTATCTTCAAGTTATATAAATCCTAACTCTGAACCATATAGAATATGTAACCTATAAATATGTAATACACTAATATGTATCGTGCACTATACTGTACTATATACATTGTGTTTTAAGGGCCGAGTCTGAAAATACGAAAGTAGAAGAGAGGAAAATTTTTGAAAATATATTAAAAGTGTCATTCTTATTTGTCAACGATTTGTACACAGACCGGAAAAAATTTCCAATGAATGATGGCATAAAATTCATTCTTTTCTGTGCAAGGAGGACGTAGATATATACAATTTCCTCCAATTACTATACGATATATAGCAAATATATAGTCTGATCCAAATTAGGCATCAGTCTGTGTGATGTGGGTTTGTTTTATGCCTAAATATACAATGCCTCTGAAGATTTAAATTTTTATAAAGTACGAAAATGAGTAAACATATTAAATATCAAAACTATTGCTTGTGTGAGAATATTTTTTAAATCAAGGTTGTTTTCCTGTTTAAAATAGATGTCGTTGAAACCAAGTTATTTATTCAGGTGATCCCTGACCGGCCCCTGGAGAAGCAATAATTCCTTCAGGTCTGAGGGAACCAGTAATACCTTCCATATACTCTTGATCCCTGACCGGCCTCTGGAGAAGCAATAACTCCTTCAGGTCTGAGGGAACCAGTAACACCTTCCACATACTCTCGCTAAATGAAACATAGTAGAAGCCCTTAAATAAATCGGCCTTAACAAGGGTGCGTATATATGAATCAGAGGCGTCACACAAAGTCAAACTAAATTACAAATTAGGATGTTTCTCACCAAGTTTATTTCCATGAAGGCTAACCCTCTAATTCAGAGTCAGCCAGCACAGACACGCTGACTCACATGGAAAATTAATTAGTCTTTTAGTATTTACAGTTTTCACTACACAACTTATATCGTTCAGTATCATAACTAGAGAACTGCTTAATCATAAAAGCAAGGAGCGTTATACGTATATACTCTTGATGTATGAATACAGTCTTGCTAAAATGACAGGAATTGTACATAAGCAGTTAAAAATGCTTGTGAAGGTCACTTTGTATATATATATATATAATATATATATAATATATATATATATATATATATATATATATATATATATATATATATATATATATATATATATATATATATATATATATATATATATATATATATATATATGCAAAACAACCACTGTGAAAGAGTAGTGAAATTCCAAGCGCTTTCGTGACTACTCACATTGTCAAGGAACTAGTTCCTTGACAATGTGAGTAGTCACGAATGCGCTTTGAATTTCACTACTCTTTCACAATGGTTGTTTTGCATATTTTAAAATCACCTGTTTACTGTGATCTTATTGCATATATATATATATATATATATATATATATATATATATATATATATATATATATATATATATATATATATATATATATATATATACAAACATATATATATATATATATATATATATATATATATATATATATATATATACAAACATATATATATATATATATATATATATATATATATATATATATATATATATATATATACAGAGGGTGTATATTTCAGTATATGTTTATACAGTCAGTGGCCACTTTATTACGCACACCCTTTTAGTAATGGGTAGGACCAACCCTCATCCCCCCTTGTGCCCCCAGAACAGTCTTAATTTTTCGTAGAATGAATGCAATAAGGTGCTGGAAGCATTCCTTTGAGATTCTAGTCTCTGCCGACATAATATCATCACGCAGCTGCTGCAGATTTGTCAGCTGCACATCATACTGCGAATCTCCCGTTCCACTGTATCCCAAAGATTTAAGCCAAATTCAGATTCTGCCATCTGCTTGCCTCTCTTCGTCAGTTTAGTTGATACTGTTACCCATTCACTTCAAGTTTTGACGTACTGTGTATTCAGAGATGCTCTTCAGCATCCCACTGCTATACAGCGAAGTTATTTGAGTTACTGTCACCATTCTGTCAGTTTGAACCAGTCTGGCCACTCTCCTCTGACCTCTGTCATTAATAAGGTGTTTTCGCCCACAGAACTGTCGCCCACTGGATGTTTTGTGTTCTTCACACCATTCTCTGTAAATTCTAGAGACTCTTGTTCTTGAAAATCCCAAGAGATCAGCAGTTTCTGAGATACTGAAACTACCCCGTCTGTCACCGACAATCATTCCACCGTCAAAGTCACTAAGCTCACATAACTACCACATTCTGATGTTTTGTCTGAGCAACAATAAAACCTCTTGATCATGTCTGCACTGAGGTGCTGCCATGTGATTTGATGATTAGATATTTGCTTTATTTCAAGGGTTGATTTATAGCTCCTGGCCCCGGAATTGTTTGGGTGTGGGTGTGTATACTGTATATACACAGTTGACCTGCAGTATTAGTGACTCTAGTATAGTCAATAGGCTTGAAACCTAATACACATCAGCTAACCTAGCAAAGGTCGTCAGGATGGAATGACGAGATTGATATGGATGGACCTCTCTCGTTACTTGGCTAAGGCACTAGTACTCTGGTAATCCCAAAAAGCGTGTTCGAATTCTGATCTCTCCGTTAAATATGAATATAAATGACAGCTGGGCTGTTCGTTTAATACTTAAAATATTCATTAGCTACATGAAATATTTTTAAATGAAAACGAGAAGTGAACAAGAAATAAAAGATGACAAACAATCATTTAGATTTCTTTTAAATTGTAAGAGTCCCCCCGCACTGCAAGCGGTTATTCTGCAAAAGTTTCAGTAGAATCGGCCAGTAACATTGTTAGTTAATCGTAGTTCTAGACGCGCCCCTTGGTTCAGTACAAGCTAGTCACATATATGGGTTTAGCCACACCTGCCTTGTTCCTGGTATGCCTAATATAAAAATGTTAATTTGAAATGTTACAATCATTCAAAAATTTCAGTAGGCATCGTACCCCTTTCCAGTTTTTTTGTGTATTATCTATAATTTTTTTGATTGGTTCTTTTACTGCATTCACCAACTGTAGGCTAACTTTTCAGGTAATCTTTTATCTGTTGCAAATTTCTTCTGTAGATCTTTGACAATACCGTCAACTTATTTAAGTGTCCCATCTCTCAGATTGCTTTCTGCAGGTCTCTAAACAATTCAAGTGACTCTACAGGTTCCTCAACCCTTTAAACTGCCTATACGATGGTCTTCAGGTCGCCATTAAGGGTCGAGCATACCAGAAACCAGACAGGTATAGACAGTGATAGAGGTCGTGGATCTGGAGCAGTGGGGGGATACCTGTCTCCTTCTCCCTGGTACCTGGTATCCGCTCCAGCGTGGCAGGTACCGGCTGAGGCTTCCTGACGGTAGCATAATAGGCATCCCGCTGCTGCAGGAGATTAGTTTTGTTCTCCTCTACCTCTTGGTCCTCCTGCGATGCGCGGCTGCCGCGTCCTGCCGCAGCTCCTGAAGGTGGGGAAGACGAAGTGAGAATAGTTGATGAAGAGGAGAAAGAAGAAAATAAAGAGCAAGAGGATATGGAGAAAAACACTGAGGGAACAACAGGAAAAATGGCAGAAACATGTCGGTGGGAGAGTAAAAAGAACAGTAAGAAGAGACACGGAGAGCAGGAGGAAGAGTAAAGGGAGAAAGGAGGAGAGAGGGAAAAGTAAAGGAAGACGCAGCACTAGGAAGACGTGGTAGCATGAAAAAGAAATGACAAGGAAAATGATAAAAAGTATATGAAATATAAGAGAGGTCTAAATAAACCAATAATACAACGTTACTCCAGGATACCTCAGATTACATTTAAATTATATATATATATATATATATATATATATATATATATATATATATATATATATTATATATATATATATATATATATATTATATATATATAAATATTATATATATATATATATATATATATATATATATATATATATATATATATATATATATATATATATGTCGTGCCGAATATGTAAAACTTACGATTTTGGCTTAAACAGCAACGCTCATCCTGCCTTATAAGACAAGTGAAAATTTGTGTATGCAATAATTTCGCAAAAATCATTCTGAACCTAGCGAAAAAAATATATTTCACTGTATTTGTTTAGTACTAAATTATTGGAAACGTATTTAAAATATATTTAGTTGGATTAGGCTAAAATAAATTGCGCTTGTTATAATAAGGTTAGGTAAGTTTTCTAAGATGCTTTTGGTGCAAAATTACAAATTTTAACATTAACATTAATGAAAAAATATATCTTTAAACGTTTAAGAGAAAATTTTAGAAAGGACTTAATTTTAAATGAGTTCTTGCTAATTAACCAGTTTTACATATTCGGCACGACATATATGTATATATATATATATATATATATATATATATATATATATATATATATTATATATATAATATATATATATATATATATATATATGTCTGTGTGTGTGTGCAAGGAATTCGCAAGGTTCGAGTCTCCTTCAGCCAGAGATCAGTGTTTGTGTATATTTCGCCTGCTCTTGCGAATTCCTTGCATTGTTAAAGTCTCTAGTAAGGCTGATGCATGCAGGGGACGAGATGAAAAGCTGTAAGCCTTCTCCTTGAAAGCTGGCTGCCTTGGATCAACATGTAGCGCAAGCTGCACGCCAAGGTATTGTCCAGTGTGGTGAGATTGGTATAGCACTGCGTGCCTTGTTCCAAGGTTCGTAGGTTCGAGTCTTCTTCAGCCAGAGATCAGTGTTGATATATATATATATATATATATATATATATATATATATATATATATATATATATATATATGTCGTGCCGAATATGTAAAACTGGTCAATTAGCAAGAACTCATTTAAAATTAAGTCCTTTCTAAAATTTTCTCTTATACGTTTAAAGATATATTTTTTCATTAATGCTAATGTAAAAAATTTTAATTTTGCACCAAAAGAATCTTAGAAAACTTACCTAACCCCTATTATAACAAGAACAATTTAATTTAGCCTAACCCAACTATATATATTTTAGATTTGTTTACAATAATTTAATACTAAACAAACACAGTGAAATATATTTTTTTCGTTAGGTTCAGAATGATTTTTGCGAAATTATTGCATACACAAATTTTCGCTTGGCCTATATGGCAAGATGAGCGTTGCTATTTAAGCCAAGATCGCAAGTTCTGCCTATTCGGCACGATATATATATATATGTATATATATATATATATATATATATATATATATATATATTATATATATATATATATATATATATATATATATATATAGTCGTGCCGAATATGTAAAACTGGTCAATTAGCAAGAACTCATTTAAAATTAAGTCCTTTCTAAAATTTTCTCTTATACGTTTAAAGATATATTTTTTCATTAATGCTAATGTAAAAAATTTTAATTTTGCACCAAAAGAATCTTAGAAAACTTACCTAACCTTATTATAACAAGAACAATTTATTTTAGCCTAACCCAACTATATATATTTTAGATTTGTTTACAATAATTTAATACTAAAACAAACACAGTGAAATATATTTTTTTCGTTAGGTTCAGAATGATTTTTGCGAAATTATTGCATACACAAATTTTCGCTTGGCCTATATGGCAAGATGAGCGTTGCTATTTAAGCCAAGATCGCAAGTTCTGCCTATTCGGCACGATATATATATATATATATATATATATATATATATATATATATATATATATATATATATATATATATATATATATATATATATATATATATATATATATATATATATATATGCATATATATAATTAAGCAGGAATACGAGCGAAATTAAATCTAGACTGGTAAAAGGCCTTTGCCAAGGTATAACTGATCTGTAAGAGTAAAAGGCTTAAGTAATTAATTATCACTAGATTCATTATAACTATAACTTTAATTTTTAAAGGGATGAATGGGTAAACTAGCGGAAGGCCTCAGTCAGATAACAAAAAGCCCCGCGTCAGCAAACGTCCGTTTCCTGACGAAACCTTGAGTAATTCCAAGTGTTGTTTTTACTTTAGAAGAGACTAGCGGATTGTTTTTCCTAGCATGAAACCAAACAGCATCACGTAAACCTACAGCAATTAGTTAAGGAAATCCGCCACTCTTAGCCGAGTATTCTCATTTTCATGTATTTAAGAGTGAGAATTACAGTCAAACCTATTTAAGGACTGATAGATGAGGTTTTGGTCTGACATATATATACGTATATGTATATATATATATATATATATATATATATATATATATTATATATATATATATATATATATATATATATATATATATATATATATATATATATATATTTATATACACGCAGTATATGCTATCAACTCGAGGATTAACTGTGGTAAATTATTGTCTTCACAGCCTACATGTAGGTATAATAGAGCTTGCAAGAAATTCAGGGCGATTAGCTATCACAGCATACATAATAAGTTAACCTAGCTGGTTATATATTTGTTGTAGGTAAGCAATCAATGAGGCTTCTTACAAAAAAAAAGCATTTTTTAGTGCACTAAAGGACATGGAAAGACTATTTTCTGTGGGTATTATTACCAATGGAAGGGTAGCTTTCCCTAAAATTAGGCTATTTTTTTTTTAGCTTATCGTAAAAGAAGGCTATTTTTCTGTTCATGACCAATAGGTTATGTTCCAAACTTTTACATAGAAAAAGACTACTTTCTGGGCTTATAGGCAAGGCAGTGCTACATTTTAGCGTATGGCCAAGCAAAAAAACATTTTTCTTTGCACTGTGAGTTATTAAGCCAACATAATCACATACCTGGAGTCACCAAAATGGACACATAAACGGCAAGGAAGAACAGTTCTTGAAACAAGTGGATAGCATCAGTAACTCAACACTTCTATTAATATTATTCAACAAGTGATAGTAAGAGGACAATGTATACTAGTAACTCAAAGGGAAACAACACGAGTACATTCACTGAGAACACTTTCAGTAAAGAGTCCTCAGTGAATGTACTTGTGATCTTTATCTTCTGTGTTATCGATCAAGTTTTTCACTGAGAGAAAATTCATACTGAGAAGTAAGTATGATTTTTTATTAAGTTTTGAAAATTAACACAATACAATTCAATTAAAAAAAGTCAACGGGATTAATAACATTGATAAGTTAAAATAGAATTTTATTTTTTATATTATTTAGACCTTATTTATTACAGACTATTACAACATTTCGCTCAAGGAGAACTTTTGCAACTCTTCCACCAATTCCACCTCAAGTTCGTAAATACAATTACATGTGTGAAAGGTTATTTATTTCATAAAACATTATACAACAATTTTAAAATTCTGAAAAAATCTTTAAAAAATACGTATGAGTTAGAATTTAATCAAATACAATAAGACAATTTTCCTCTTAGTTAATATAAACAAAAGTTTTAACTATCATCTTGGATAAAAAACTGAATATAACAATGGTTATAAATGATCATAATTTTTAAAGGGGTGGACCGGTAAGCCAGCGGAAGGCCTCGGTCATATGACCAAAAGCTCCAAAGGCGGGTCATCATCTGACTAAGACCCGTGTCAGGAAACATTTGTCCTGTTTCCTGACGAACCTTACCTAACCTAACCTAACTGAATATTGAAACAATTAAAATGGTTATAACTGACCATAATTTTTAAAGGGGTGGACCGGTAAGCCAGCGGAAGGCCTCGGTCAGATAACCAAAACTCCAAAGGCGGGTCATCATCTAAGACCCTTGTCATGAAACACTTGTCTTGTTTCCTGACAAACCTTACCTAACCTAACTGAAAATAGTAAGTTATTAATTTAATATAATAATGGTTATAAATGACCATTATTTTTAAAGGGGTGGACCGGTAAGCCAGCGGAAGGCCTCGGTCAGATGACCAAAGCTCCAAAGGCGGGTCATCATCTGACTAAGACCCGTGTCAGGAAACACTTGTTCTGATTCCTGACAAACCTTACCTCACCTAACTGAAAATAGTCAATCGACACCATGCCTAGCCCTTCTAGGGTAGGGTAGGTGCCTGAGCCCGAGCTTGCAGCTCACAAGGCTGCCATTTCCATTAGCTCCCCTGGGACGGGGATGGCTGACCAGAGAGGCCTAGCTTCTCACTACGAGCCCCGTGAGGGCGGGGAATGTGGCTAGGCTTGGGGACAGTTGGTCCCTAAGATGAGGGGTTACTTGTACCTCCTCCCATGGGAGACTTAGGTCTCAGACACTCCCTAGACAGAGAGCCAAGGCCGGGCCACCACTTGGCAAAGGCCCGGGCCGGGAGAATACCGGCGAATCTTTAAAAAAAAAAATAAGTAAATAAAAAAAATGAAAATAGTTTTTTTATTTGTAGTAAAAAATGCACATCAAGTATGAAGGTTAATTATAGTTTTACCAGTGACTCTGAAATGATTGTTTGTGTAATGGAAGAAGACACTCACGTCTCCTGAGACAGAGGACAGCAGCAGCGACTGTGAGAGCCAGGGCTAGTGCTGAGGCAGCGGCTGAGGCCAGGAGACGAGGATCGGTGTGTAAGGGGATAGGAAGAGCCTCCTCCAGTTCCCCAACTGGCTGAGCCCCCAGGCCGCCCCCGGGGCCCGTATTGGTATTGACGGTTGTGGTGGTGGCCCCAGCGGCGTTATGTCCCGTCAGACGGAGGCCAAAAGTGGCGCCTGTACGAAGACCTCCAACCTCGTATACCTCTTGAGGAGCAAGGCTGCTCGCCACTGCCAGGTATAAAACAATTATTCCATTTTTTTCTTTTTTTGACTTAGGTTTGATTACACTGCTAAAAGTCTCTCACACACATGCAACAAACACTCGTGTAACTATAGCTGTTCAATAAATTTATACACTTGACTGCAAGAGAAGTGAATGCTCGAGTATCTGGTAAGACGGCTATTAAATGAATGATGGTGAATGTTTCCTTTTCCTTAAAATTAATAATAAAAATATAATTCCACTGAGGGCTAAGGGGGCTTAAACACCCAAGAGGCAAAAACTTTATTTTTTTTATTACAAATAAAGGTTAATTTTCACTGTACAATAAACATTAGTGACCACTAAAGTACAGAATAGTTGAAGATTTCACATATACTATATTGATAATCATATGGCTTTATAGACGATGTTTTATTCTGTTAACATTTTATCATTTTTAAACACCCAGAATGAAATTCTGACTGCGCTACTGATGATGATGATGATGATGATGATGATAATAATAACAGTTTTAGTAGTAGAAGTAGCAGTTGTAGTAGCAGTAGTATTGTTAATAATATTAGTATTATCATTTATTGAGCGTTGGAAGTAAATCTCTTACTGCCACCGAATATTTTAAGAAAAGGGTGGAAACCCAGCTCCAGCATTTCTGTAGTTTCTCTACGAGCAGACATCACCACCCTGGCTCGAGGGCCTACACGTGGTCCAAGAAGACTTACACACGTGGTCCTTGGCAAAAGGACTTACACGTGGTCCTTGGCAAGAGGACTTACACGTGGTCCAAGAACACTTACATGTGGTCCAAGATGAATCTCGAGGTCTTCTGAGCTCAAGGGTGAAGTGGGTGATGGGACACCCACCATCCCCCCACCTTCCAAGCCACACCCATATGCCTGTACTGTTCCCCGAGGCTACCTGCCGGGTGGGCGGCGCCACGGGCGGCGAGCCTGACGTGCGGGCGGTGAGTGGGCGTGAAGGTGGTGATACCCCCACATGTGTCCTAGAAGTTACATATACCTGAAAAAAAATCTTAATTCAGTTCACGAAAATAATAATTCATTCATCGGTACTACAGTGTACATAGTGGTGGATGAACTTAATTTAGAAATACAATATTTCTCATTTTTTTCACTTTATACGTTCTCATTCTGGCAGTTTTCCGACTGCTGTGGGTCGCGTTCCACAGACGAAGGCCAATCTTAGATACTTGGAGTTTACGTGGAGAAGGTTTCGGGGGTCAACGCCCCCGCGGCCAAGTCTGAGACCAGGCTGGACTTCGAAATAAACTAAGGTATAACAGCTCTCGGTTTGTAAATTCGACAATGTAAAAATGAAACTAGCTCGGCTTCATACTGTAGAAATACCTATCATTGTTCTTGGTCTCACACTGAAGAAAGACTCATTATCATTTCCAGTCCCACACTAGTGAGAGCCCTATTATCACCTTTGGTTCCACACTAGATGAGAACATTCTTCGTAGTCGGCCTCACACTGAAAAAGAAAGCACCTACCTGGTACAGGTTCATTCTTAAGGAAGACTTAACACTTGGCCTCACACTGGCAAATCACTTACTTAGTGCTCAGGTTCCCTCTGGAGGAAGACCTACTTCGCACTGGGCTTCGCACAGGATAGAAAAAGTTACCTGGTACTCTGCTCCACACTGAAGGTCGGTGATGATGTATCTAGAGTGCATGCGACCCAGTTCCCGGGTATGCCAGGAGCCACCACCTGTAGCCGCCCTCCACCACACCGCCCATGCCCGCACCGCTGCCCCACCTGTGTCTCCGGCCGCCCACGACACCGTCAGTGTGGAGGCCGTAGCATCAGCAATGTGGACGGATGGTGCACTGGGAGGCACTGTAAAAAAATCATTAATATAATTTAATAGAGGGAAAATAGCTACTGAAATATTATGACAGAGTGGAACCCATTAATGGGGAATGTTTATAATGGTAATGGAACCGAAAGGAAAAAAATAAATATGACATTGACAGTTATGACTGTATCTATGAATGTCTTCAAGTGAGGAAATTGTAGATTGATTTTACTCATGTCAGTAGCTGACCTGAGGGTACTGGATGATAGTACTCTCAGCTTTATAAATGCTACATTCTCAAAGATAAATTTTAGTCATTTGGGGATGAGAAAAAAAAGTTTCAGGCCTTTATCATTGATGCGTTGACTCAGGACATGGTACAGGCTACACTGTCTACTTATCTCTGAGAATCTGTCCACTTCACTGACGAGGTGCTGGCGACAGTGCCAAAGATCTAGAACTTTCTTTTCCATTCCCTAGTAGCTTATTTTACATTTGTTTGATCGCTTGTTTGAGAATGTCTTGCATGTATATATATATATATATATATATATATATATATATATATATATATATATATATATATATATATATATATATATATATATATATATATATATATATATATATATATCTTTTCTTTCTTTCAACACACCGGCCGTATCCCACCGAGGCAGGGTGGCCCAAAAGAAAAAACGAAAGTTTGTCCTTTTACATTTAGTAATATATACAGGAGAAGGGGTTACTAGCCCCTTGCTCCCGGCATTTTAGTCGCCTCTTACAACACGCATGGCTTACGGAGGAAGAATTCTGTTCCACTTCCCCATGGAGGTAAGAGGAAATAAACAAGAACAAGAACTAGAAAGAAAATAGAAGAAAACCCAAAGGGGTGTGTATATATATGCTTGTACATGTATGTGTAGTGTGACCTAAGTGTAAGTAGAAGTAGCAAGACGTACCTGAAATCTTGCATGTGTATGAGACTGAAAAAAAAAAGACACCAGCAATCCTACCATCGTGTAAAACAATTACAGGCTTCAGTTTTACACTCACTTGGCAGGACGGTAGTACCTCCCTGGGCGGTTGCTGTCTACCAACCTACTACCTAGAATATATATGTATATATATATATATATATATATATATATATATATATATATATATATATATATATATATATATATATATATATATATATATAAATATATATATATATATATATATATATATATATATATATATATATATATATATATATATATATATATATATATAAGGGGAAAAGGGTGAGTGGTGCACTTAGTAGTCTGTGGAGATAAAGAACTTTGTCCTTGGAGGCAAAGAGGGGAATGTATAAGAGTATACTTTTACCAACGCTCTTATATGGGTGTGAAGCATGGGTGATGAATGCTGCAGCGAGTAGAAAGCTGGAGGCAGTGGAGATGCCATGTCTGAGGGCAATATGTGGTGTGAATATAATGCAGAGAATTCGTTGTTTGGAAGTTAGGAGGAGGTGCGGGATTGCCAAAACTGTTGTCCAGAGGGCTGAGGAAGGGTTGTTGAGGTGGTTCGGACATGTAGAGAGAATGGAGCGAAACAGAATGACTTCAAGAGTGTATCAGTCTGTAGTGGAAGGCCCTCATCCGTCCACTAATAACTTACTGCCCACTAGCCCTCTCCCTAGCAGCTGTGACAAACAGACGTAAACTACAACGCATCCAGAACAAAGCCTTACGCTGGGTGCTCAACACGCGATGGTATGAATTCATCACAAGTGAGTCCATCCACGCCCGAGCGAACATCCCTGCTCTAAACGTGTACTGGAAACAGCTTAGCGATAAACAAATAGACAGACTAGAGACCAGACATGACTACTGGACCTCATACCTAGACGACGAAATACGCAGACCAGCAAACACACACAACCTCTTCTACTCATTACTAGCTCCTGACCCAATTCCTATATACAAATAACCTGCTAAAATCTTGACTCACTAACCTGTAACTCACAGGTATGGACCTATAATAAAGCCCTTGTACCATGCGATGAACGCTTTGTCGCTCCCCCCCCCCTTCCCCCCGACCAGTCACTTAGTTGCGCAAACTCCTGAATCGCTTTCAGCTCAGCTAATGGGTTAAGCCCTGGTTCTTTCACTCTTACAATAACCCTTCCTCTAACCAACCTATTCTTCCTCTATCCCCACTTCCCCACTCACCCCTTCTTGGGGTCTTACCTAGAATCTATAGATAGATAGATAGGTAGTGGAAGGAAGGCGGGGTAGGGGTCGGCCTAGGAAAGGTTGGAGGGAGTGGGTAAAGGAGGTTTTGTGTGCGAGGGGCTTTGACTTCCAGCAGGCATGCGTGAGCGTGTTTGATAGGAGTGAATGGAGACAAATGGTTTTTAATACTTGACGTGCTGTTGGAGTGTGAGCAAAGTAACATTTATGAAGGGATTCAGGGAAACCGGCAGGCCGGACTTGAGTCCTGGAGATGGGAAGTACAGTGCCTGCACTCTGAAGGAGGGGTGTTAATGTTGCAGTTTAAAAACTGTAGTGTAAAGCGCCCTTCTGGCAAGACAGTGATGGAGCGAATGATGGTGAAAGTTTTTCTTTTTCGGGCCACCCTGCCTTGGTGGGAATCGGCCAGTGTGTGAATAAAAAATAATATATATATATATATATATATATATATTATATATATATATATATATATATATATATATATATATATATATATAATATAAATATATATATACATTATATAATATATATATATATATATATATATATATATATATATTATATATATATATATATTATATATATATATATATATGTTATATATATATATATATATATATATATATATATATATATATATATATATTATATATATATATATATATATATATATATATATATATATAAAGTGAGCTGTGAGAATCACAAGCTAAAAGATGTAAGTGAATGGATGAATTCTGAACAGAAAACCGACTCGAATTTTAATGAAATCAACCATATGAATACCACAAGTTTTAGCCTTATGGAACATTGTGATGCTTACCTTGTACAAGGATAAGTATGGTATAAGTGTGGCCGTAGAAGTTGTAAATGATATGTAAAGGCACCAGGTAAGTAAGTGGGACACAAAAGCAACATTACGTGATTTGAAAAGACGACGTTTTCCTTGATAGGGGCTTTTATCAATATAATATTGAGAACTGATGCTGGAGCAGGTACAAGGTCAGGTGGCGCACGTGGAGGAAGGGCTAGTTGATGGCTGTGTCCGGTTTGTGCAGGATGTTCAGATGTTCAAGTGTTCACTCCAGGATCATCCTGCTCAAACCGCCCAGCAGTCAGGTAGCCTCTGCCCACCCGTGCACCACCTCACTTTCTACCTACTGTATATACCCCTTTTAATTAATTTCTTTTTACTGGATTGATAAAACCTCTACCAGGAGAAACGTCTCTAGTGAATGTCTTAATACCACTTTGAGTTTTACGTGGGTGTAGAGGAGCTCACCTTGTACATGTAGAGTGTAGGTAGTGGAGGTGTGGACATAAGGATGCTTGCGAACGCTGTGTATGGAGCAGGTGTAGTTTCCTCTATCACTCCTCTCTACCCCTCGAACCATTAATGAACCATCAGCCTCCTGACTGAACCTGTGAGGAGAAAAGGAGTAAACGGAAGGACATAGAAGCTACGTAACAGACTCGCCATGACTGATAAGTAAATAACGTTGATGCTGTACCAAGTGACACGAGAAGACACGTTTAGAATATGCTTCTATTGGGACAACGATTTGCTCTGTTAGAGCTTTATAAAGCCTTAAACAGGGTAACCGTTGTGTCAATAAAACCTTCCTTTGCAATGTGGGTTTCTTCTCTTTTGTAAGCAATAGGTTATTAAGATACAGCGGAATGAGATGTGGACTGATCGCATACAAGAGTTAGGTCGCTTTATGAAGAACTTCATATCCATCACGTATGCTGTATAAATATTTGTAGAAATACCGACAATACATTAAGTAAAAGGACACAAGAGCAAGTAATAAGACATTCATTCATTCATTCATTAGAGGTTTGCCGGTACTTCCGGCCCGGGTCTTCTCCATATGGTGACCCGGCTGTGGCCCCCGGTTGGGGGTGTCATCATCTTCTTCTTCTTTCTTCTGTCTTCTTTCTTGGGCCCTCCGGCTGGAGGGTAAGTAATAAGACATTTATTACAACACTCCAGAAGTTTTATCAAGCCAATGCCAACTCTACAGGGACACAGAGTATATAAAGGGAACATGGTAAGGCGCTGGGCTAAGTCAGGGAAATAAGACTGCGGGAGCACTGCAATCTGTCTAGTGCAGTGGTTCTCAAACTGGGGGTAATTTAACCATTTTTGGGGGGTAATGGAGGGGTGACAGAAAAAAAGTTATGAATTCTGAAAATCAAGAAAACAATGCGGTACCCGGTATGAGGATTATTGTTAACTTTGTCTTAGTATATAAAGTTGTAAAGTAAACCTATTATAAGTAAGTAATAAAGTTAAACCAAATAACAATAAACATCAAAAACTAATATACAGTATTAGAAAAGAAGAATTATATAGCTAAGTGTGTGGAAACCCAAAAGTATTTTAACAAGTATGCTTCAGGACAAAAGTCACTCAGTAGCCCAGATCGACCTGTCCAGTATGCGTCACTCACTTCCTGAGGCTGCCTCTATTTCACACTGTCAGTTTATCTGTGAGCATCAGCCGAGGTAGACATAAGCTGGTATGTATGTGTACTGCCCTGTGCAGTATATAGTTAGTATTTACCCACTGTTACTGTGAATTTGTAGCTATTATTAATTTTATATATAATGTATGTGTGGTTCTTACGTTTTCAATGGTTTTGCTAGGATTAGCAGAGTATGCGAGGCTGTATACGTTCACGTTTAGCCATATATATCAATAATAACAACATTTTGTGAAAGGGGTAACATGCTTTATGTGGCATGTTAAATTGGGTAACAAGCTGAAAAAGTTTGGGAACCACTGGTCTAGTGGATCATGTTCGTGGTGGTAGTAGAAGTAGCAGTGACTAGTTGTCAGTTGATGGCGGCGTCTCACTAGTTGCGTTTGTGTACTTTTTCTTAATGTGTGTCCTGCGTTCTTAATATTGCAGAATTACATATTGGGTCTAGGTACTTGGACCCATTATGCTTTACCACCAGCCAGCACTTATCACACACAAACAAAAATACTTGAGCTACATATAATCTACGTGTTGCAAGTATTATCATTAACATTAGAACCCAATTGTGTATGAATACGACAATTCATAGGGTGGTGGAATGTCTGGAGTTGATGATGATGGTATTATACTAACCTCTCATCTTTCTCAATGTGTCTGCCATCTATGGTCCAGGTGGGTATCGGTGAGGGGCTGCCCACTGTCACACACACCAGCCTCACATCCTCCCCCTGAGTAACCACTATCTTGCCACCCAGGGAAGCCACCCCTGCCGGCACTGAGGGGAAACAACAATATTGAACTTATTATTAATGTGTACTTATATAAATGTTTAAATGTAAGTGAATAATCGTACAGAGAAACCCACATGAAGACAGTAAAGAATATAAACACTGAATATTACGGCACTATACTCTTCAGGAAGCTGTCTATTGTGATCCTCACTGTGAGGCTGAAATATGCATCATTCATCTGAACTTCTCTTTTATTTATTTAACATAGGAATGAGAGAATCCAATATATCAACACTTATATTACTTTCAATACTGCTTAGGAAAGCTGGACGTTGACAGCGGTATTTTTGTTATAAATGACGGCTTCCTGTTACGTATAATTCTGTGACCAAACAAGACACGAAAGTGTCATGTAAAAAAAATCATCATTATTTCAAACTAGGTTGTCATTTTTGCCGGGCATGATGAAAAAGGCAGCGACCTCGAAGAATGCTAAAAGGCAATGACGTAATTTCAAGAGGAAATCTTCCTATATAATTCCTGATGCATCAATGAATGTTACCAGTGTAAATTAGGAAAACGTTTCCTATCAGTAACATAAATCAGGAGTAATTACTCCCTCAAAAATCACGTTCATTTCAGCATGAATATTCCTCCTGGTGTGAGAATATTTAGCATGAAGAAAGTTATAATTTCTTTCATAGCTACATGATTTGCTTTTTACATTACAATGATTTATAATATTTTGCAACAGCAAAACACAATAGCATTTCCATACATCACTAACTAATAGCAGACATGATGGGTAGGTATAATGGGAGTAAATCAAATGGGAATTTTTGTCATAGACAAATTGATATTAGACCAACCAGACGTTAAATAGTGAGTTGGAACTACTACGTAAGCTTACTACTAGCCAGTAGGCCTGCTACAGTGCTTCTGTATTCTTATTCTCAAGTTACAAAACAAAATTACTGGTATTGCATTATTTAGACAGGTATGTTGTCACTGGGTGATATATATTTTGTATAAGATTTTTCTTACCTTGATCGAGGACGGTGAGTTTTACTGTGGGCGTTGGGGGACCTTCACCCACTCTAGTTCGAGCGGTCATCCAGAACTGGTGTGTACCGTGGGTGAGGTGATTTAGAACGTGGGAATTGGCATGTGCGTGTAGTGAGTGCTGGGTGGGTGCACGGGCGTGAGGTGGGCGGTGGTGGAGGGTATAGCCCAGAAGGAGGCCCGTGGGCGGGTGTGGAGGCAGCCAGGTGAGGATTGCTGTACCCACATCCGACTGTAGTGCCCGCAGACCTGCCGGTGCCCCGGCCACTGTTGATACAGCAAAGATTTGTTTAGTAACTCTACAGTGATCCCATACCAATGATTTGTTTAGTAAATCTACGGTGTTCGTACAAGAAGGATATATTCAGTAACTCTACGGTAATACTCGGCCAGGTATACAAAAAAAAAAAAAAGAGCCGAAAAGTTGTTCAGAATGACACATAAGACAGCATAAACCATATTATTTAACGTTACGCTCATTGATTAGTTTTTATATTTTGCGGCTGAAGTAGCTAGGTTATTTTACACTCAATATCCATCCTGTGAAGAGTATCGCAAGAACATATAGATACACAAAAGGCCCAGGAACTAGACCTCAAAAGGGCTAACAGGAGTACATCTGAATTTATATCTACAATTTAGGATATTTGTTTATTACAACTGGTTTTATATTTTCATTAATTAGACGCTATGATATGTGACAAAGGTTATTATACTGTCTCTCTCTATTTACCTCAATAAGCGGTCCATCAAGCACATATTGTTCAAGATAGTGACCGTATGGCCGGCCACATAATTTGTATTTAGTTTGATCATGTGTGTCTTCCAAACTGTCATAAGTACTTGTAATCAAGCCTAAGCCTGGCTGCTACATCTGTCAGTCATTTTACATTTCCAGTTTCTCCATACGTATACTTATCTATGTTTACGTTATAGCAAGTTATAGATCTACCCTGGCTTCTAACTGCATTTCTAAGACATTCACATTCATTATTTATATCTCTCCTAATATTATAATGCTTGACACATACCGAGGATGCGATCCACAGTTTTCTTAAGGATGTTTTCTGTAGCTAATTAATCAATGTGTGATGAAATCTAAAAGAATTATACATGAATCCCCCCCCTATCTGTTTTTTTTCTATACCTGGCTTCTCCTTGGGAAAGCCTAGCAGCGTGTTTCTCTCTATTAGCAAACGAAGGACTGAGTCTCAACTGCTCCTTCAGCTGAATAACCAAAGCTGGTTTAGCTTGTTTCATATATAATAACTTGGATTCTCCAGTAAGCATGTTAGTCATTATGAGAGTCAAGAGCCTTCACAGATGACACAGAATATGCGATAATCTAGATCACTGAAAACTCTTCTTGAGCGAAACCTACTAACAAAGCCTTACGTTGTTTCACGTGCGTTTGTCATCTGTTAGCGTTCATATCCTCTTACACTTCAACCTATCAATTGGAAATGAAATCCGGACGACGTTTCGTTCAGTCCTGGACCATCATTATCATCAAGCGATTTGACGTTGGCCCATTCTGGACCGAAAGGTGGTCCAGTTTCCATTTATAACTTATGTGTTAGTTGTAAATTGTTGCAATGGTTCAAAGATATTCTAAGCAAGGAGACCCTTTATTTTAGACGTCACCCACACTGGGGCTTTATTATTTACACTGGGGGCTATAATCCACTGCGGGTTATAAGGCACCACAGTGGAGGCTTTATTTTTCAAAGTGGGGGCTTTATTTCCAATGGTGGGGGCTTTATTACCCACAGTGAGGTTTTATTACCCACGGTGGGGCCTTATTACCCAGAGTGTGGCTTTATTACCCAAAGTTGGGATCCTTTTACTCACAGTGAGGCTTTATTACCCACAGTGGGGGCTTTATTACCCGCAGAGGGGACTTTATTACCCACGCTGATCCTTTAAAACCCAAAGTGGTGTTTTATTAGGTACTATATCAAATCATATATAGAAAGCTGGGTTACTGATATAAAGTACTGAGGTACAGCTTCTTCTAATTTGCTTTCTAATAACTATTAAAATATGGATTATTATTTTTAGATTCACGAGGAATTGCTAAGCCCGTAAGGGTCATACATGGAATGAGTGGAAGGGGTGGAAGAATGGGGAAAGGGGACGAGTAATCGGATTTGATCCTAGGGACGGATAGGAGGAAGGTGTCTTCAGTTCCTTGGATGAAGGAACTGATGCCAGAAAGGGCTGAGAGAGATTATAGAGGTCATACCATCCTCTCTGGTGGTGCAGGTGAGGTCAGGAGAGGTCACGCCGGGACCTGCTCGGGTCACTGCTGCAACGGTGACCGTGTAATTGGTCCAAGGTCTTAGTCCTCCTACACTTTCCTCACGTCCGTTGGTCATTCTCGTCAGCTCCTCTACCTCTTCTGGAGGAAAAGAGAAAGAATTATAATTATGTAACGGGATAACCCAATAATTATGTAGCCACCGTTTGGCGGCCCCAGTTCAAAACTAGAGCTGAGAAAGGACCCCAATGGAAATAAGTCACTGACTTTTTTTGGGTTATCCTAGGTTCTATACACATATGTTACAATGTATGATAATGTATGTAACTATTTGTGCATACCAGAATAAACTTACTTATTATTATTAAGATTGTCATGCCATTAAATAATTTGAGTGACAGCCGTTTTCTCTAAGAAAATCTTTACATTCATAGAAAATGAAAAGGCATATTTGTGAGGCATACTCCTCAAGGGCGGGTCCTCGACGCTGAGAAGAGGCTCTTGAGCCAAGGAATTAAACCTGACTCTCCCCTTCCTTCTATCGAACACGATTACCTCCCATTCCCTAGGCGCTACGGGTTTAGTGCTCCTCCAATGAATAATAATAATAATAATGTAATAATAAAACAATAATAATACGAGACCATTAAAATACCTAATGAACAAGTAAGTAAATAAGTTTTTATTTGGGCATCATACATAATTTAAATTTTTAATGATTTCATATGGTAAATTATATAGAATTTAACCCGGGATAACCCATTAATTTGATGATTTAATGATGTTCATTTAGGTTTAAGTCATTTTATAAACATTTTGCACATACATACTTTACAGGTATATATACACATCCAGCAGTGTATATGCACTGAGAGTATATTTGAATCTCTCTTTCAGGACTTAAAAGTATTCTTGACTGGTGGTGAACAGGTTACTTGTAGTTAATAAACGTTAAATCCAATTAAATACCCAGTCACATAAAATATATTATTGAATCGTACACAAAATCAATATAGGAATATCTTGATGACGAAACATGAGAATCTCAAGTTGAAATATATCATTCTACTTTGCTTTATCTGATTATCTCGGCTGATTAAATTGATAAGATAAAATTAGACTTATTCATGATACCTACATATGATTTTACAGATTTATACAGTTAATCAGGGGTTACAACCATCATGATTTCTACAAGCATAAGCTCAGAGATAAGTATGATTGATTTAACGTAAGATAAAACACAAAAAAAATCATAGTGAATTATTTCTACGCGAAGCCTGATCACAGACCGGGCCGTGGGGGCGCTGACCCCTGAAACCTTCTCCAGGTATACTCCAAGTATACTGATGTCAGTATCGTAATTGTTTTTATGTCTGTAAAGTAAAAGAACACAAGTGCAACTAATGTGACATTTTATTGTGGCAACGTTTCGCTCTCCAGGAGCTTTGTTAAGCCGTTGCCACCATAAAATATCACATTAGTTGCACTTATGTCCTTACTTTTCATATAGTCGGTAATTATTTCTACTAACATATATACAACTTTTTTTATGTCTGTTAATATACTCATTATTTTCACCAAATTTTAAGGAGACCTCACCAAGGCTTTCCCAACAATTGCTCAAAAAAAAAAAAACAAGAAATTGGATGGATATCTACTTACCTGTCGAGTCATCAAGACGTGTGAGAGACAGGCGGTAGCCTTGCAGGAGGCCGTTATGATCTATAGGAGAGGGAGGCGCCCACCTCACCAGCAGCGAGGTACCTCCAGCACCCCCGCTGCACTCCACACCCACAGGAGGCGCTGAAGGTACTGTTAAAAAATAAGAATATCTATACAAACCTGCCTTTGTAGACTGCTGAAGCAACCTACTATCCTCGTTTTATGTTTGTTTTTGAAGTTATACTCTACGTCGGTTTCTTAAGTTATTTTTCTAAACGAGATTTTAAATATTTTAAGGTAGGCTGGGTTAATTTAGGTTAGGGTAGATTAGGCTTAAATTAGATAAAGGTATATTAGGTTCGGTAACGTTAAGATAGGATAGGTTGGGTTAGGCTCGGTGTAGTGAGGTTAGAGTATATAAACCTGTATAAGTTTATATATAACCACAAATAATCATCGGTTTTTATTACTGTTCGTTTCATCATTATGTTTAGAAAATCCAGGAAATGAAATAATAAATAATTCCCAGGTGTAATTTCAGGTCCAGGACTCCGGTGGTAAATTAGGTTTCTTAAAATGAATTGCATCACCATAATACATGAAACTCGAAACTCGTGTGGGTAATTCTGTGCAAGAAGTGCCGTAGGCTTTATTCACTACCTTAAATGACAAAAAAAAAAATGGTCTGTATTAAAACATCTCTTTTTTCCTGGCCAAAACTGTATCTTTGGTTTAGTTAATTTTGAAAATTTGGATTCCCTGGGTAATTCTGGCTATTCCGATCACTTGAAAAATACTAACCTTGAACGTCTGATCATTACTAACATTTCTCGAACGTCTGTTAGTTCTGATGATTAGTTCATTATCGAACTTCTGGTAGTTCCGATCATTACTAACAGTTTTCGAACGTCTGTTATTTCTGATCATTACTTTTATCGAACATCTGGTAATTTTTTCTTTTACACAGAATTTGACAAGGTTAGGGTAAGGGTTCCTAATTTTATTTCCAAGCTAAGAGCTGTTACCTACATCAGTTCATTTGAAAGCCTGATCATTACTAACATTTTTCGAACGCCTGTCAGTTCTCATCTTACTTCGACAGTTTGAAAATTTCTAACAACGTTTTTCTGGATATCTTGTCAATACTTACATCTAAATATAAGAACTTAAACAGGAAGAGTTAATAAGAACAAAAGACCAACAGGAAGAGTTAGTAAAAACGCAAAAAAAAAAAAACGAGGTAAAAATCAATAAATACACATAAACTACCAATGAGAAGATCAGAAAAGGAACATAAGCAGCAAACATCAAAACCTATAAGTAACATAAACCAAGAAGTGCTGAGGTCTTTATTTACCGTCTTAATGACAAAAAAATGGTCTATATTCAAAACAGGTTTTTTTTTCATTTCTGGCCAAAAGTGTAACTTTTTCTTATACTGCAACGGAGTGACGGAGGATTTACTTTACAATATCGTAAAGGAAAGAGACATTTTATCAATCTCTCTCGGGAATATTCTGAGAGAATGGAAAGTTGTTGGTGTCGGACCGTGACAGGCACATACAGTGGGTCCTCTGACGCCTTGCACGGGATTGACACTCACTTGCAGATTAATACTGCAGTTGGGGATATATTGGCCCCAGCCGGCCGTCACTCTCCGGTGGTGAGCGGTTCAGGGATAAGGCGTCTTCTTGCGGGAATGTGTTAGTTACTAGTTGTCATGGGCAGTTGTCGATAGACACTTTGTCTTTGGGTGTTTTCTGTGTACTCACCTATTTGTGGTTGCAGGGGTCGAGTCTTAGCTCCTGGCCGTGTGTGTGTGTGTAAAGAAGTATTTCCTAACATCTCTTTGGCTCCGTGTACTTGAGACCCGCGTCACAAACAGACTTTCCCTGGCCACCCTGTCAATTTCTCTTAGTATTTCGTGTCATGATTATGTCACCTTTCGTCCTTCTGTCCTCTAGTATCGTCAGGTTGTGTGTGTATGTGTTAGTTACTAGTTTGTCAAAGACACTTGACGATAGACACTTGGCCTGTTTTAGATTTGTATGTGTGTGTATTGACTGTTGCTGCAGTCATATATATTTAACATACATATTTAACACTGACTATGACGCAGCGGCCCGCCTTCATTATACGGATTATTGTACCATGGCTTATGAAAGACAAACACACACACACACACACACACGCGCACACACACACACACACACACACACACAAACACACACACACACATCGACAATAACCTTTGACAGCTGCTAACGTACACATGAACACCGGAAGATTAGAGAATCGGAGTGACATAATACCGATTCACAAAATATTCAGAATATCATATAGATTGAAGTGGACCAAGTTGTCTGAGTTGCGAGGAGAGAGATGAGAGATCCAAGCAAGAGAGAGAGAGAGAGAGAGAGAGAGAGAGAGAGAGAGAGAGAGAAACAGTGAAATAGAGAAACAGAGAGAGAGAAAGAGAGACAGAGAGGGCACATGAACCAAAACACGATAAGAAATACTTTTTTTTTTTTCGTTCTCGGAGATATCTGTAAATGAAGAAAATGTAAAACGAGAAGCATTGTAACAATATTTAGAAAAATAAGGATATATAAAACTACACATGAATCTACATAGATTAGAGAACAGGCGTTAATGGGGACATAGTTTCGCTGTGTGTAAAGATTTATGATCTTGATAAAGTCATTTTACTTGATGAGGTTGTATACAGAATGAAGCGTTGTCCCAGTACGCCACTTAGATCCGTGTCCCAGGTAGTTTGTGAACTAACATTATGGTCCCAGGAAGAGGTACTTACCGTCCTCTGTGGTTCTGACGACCACGGGAGGAGACAGTGGCCCGGCCCCATGAGAGTTGTACGCCCTCACCACCACGGCGTACTGCACCCACGCCCTCAGGCCGGATACCACCTCACGCCCACCTCCGCCTCCTCCCACGCCCACCACGCTGTAATTGTACGTTCCCTCGCCGCCCAGGCTGGAAGAAAGACCCTCTCTGATCAAAGATACATAAGGACATTAACTGTACAATACACTTACACTTACGTTAACGATAAGATACTTGTACTGACTTAAACAGTTAGGAAACACTTATTATAATTTTAACTATAAAACAGGTTAACAATTACTTTAACAATAAAATATACTTGCAGTGTTTCTGACAATAAAATATACTTGCACTTACAATAATGCACTTATAGTAACAAGCAACAGATATACTTGCTTTGATTAATAATGAGACACTCATGATTTTAACTATAAGGGACATTTACAATTGCTTTTGGAAATAAATGGTATAAAATACCGACACAATGGAAATATAAACACAAATGCAGTATAATGTGATCCTTTATTGACAACGTTTCACCCACGCAGTGGGCTTTTTCAAGTGCACTCAGAATCTGCAGCAACGAGTTCCTTGAGGAAGAATGCACTATAATTGAACAAGTATTTTCCAAACTCCACTATCCTCGTCACTTCATCAGAGACTGCAGACGGCGAGCATTAAACATCTTCAACACACCCAGAGAAGACACTGCCGAGAAGAGATACATAGTCCTTCCCACCAACTCCATTGCCAAACATGTTTCCAACATCTTTGCCAAAACATCATTCCAAGTATCTACCTCCACAACCACGACCATCAAGGACATCACCAGTAGTAGACAGGACAAGCCTCCATCCTCTGCAGGGGTATACATAATCCCTTGTAATGACTGCAACAAATTATATGTGGGCGAAACATCAAGAGACCTCCAAACACGTATTTCAGAACACCAATATGCAAGCAGGACTGACGATACAAGGAATGCCTGTGTACAACATCGCAATTCACACAACCATTTAATTAACTACAGAAACTCAAGACTTATAGCCACAGAAGACAACACTCAATACAGAAGAATCCTGGAATCATCGTTTATCTCTATAACCAACAATTTCAACCAGAACAATGGCTTCTATAACATAGCTGAACCACTCGCCAAGAAACTTCTTCATCGCTATCCCACATAAGAACATAGAACACTGCAGAAGGTCTACTCACAACTTGTCCAATATCCCCGCCTAGCTACCCAAGACTCTATAACCCCACCCGGTAGATCATCTGATGCAGCAATCTTCACCTGACCTCAACGTTCTGAACTATAAATACTCCCGTACCTTCCAACCCCAGGTAGATCCGTGTGTGACTTGAAAAAGCCCACTGCGTGGGTGAAACGTTGTCAATAAAGGATCACATTATACTGCATTTGTGTTTATATTTCCACAATTGCTTTTGTTATGAGACAAGCATTTTCGGAGATGGTGACTGATATTCGCAGGGCGTTCTCAAAATGAAACAAGACAAACATGATGCCAGGAAACAGGGAAGTTTAAGAGGCACCTAAGTACCCTTGTCTTCTAATAATATGTTCATTTTCCTGAACATGTTATTAGAAGTCAGGGGTACTGATGTGCCCGTTAAGTTTGACTCTCAATTGACTTCGGTCACTAACTGGAAAACTGAAAGATCATCATCGGAAAATCCAGATATAAAAGACATTAAAGACAAGAAACTCGTAAGAATAACTACAAACGAAGTATTTCTAAAGAGGTACCAAATAGTAAGAAAATAAAGGATAAACAGAGGAGTGGAACTGATGATCGGTAACCAGTGAATAGATCATAGTGTACATAACAACATAGTAGTCCTTGCTTATTCAAAGGTAACACTGCTGGGAACATAGGCCTATCCCGTCTAACAAGAGATTTTTTAACCATAAGAAAAATGACTGGGATAACTGGGACCGTCCGAACAGTGGATTGAAAACGTGTCAACAAGACTGAGACGAGACAAGCCAGAAACACTTGACCTGGCTTACAGTCTGAGCGAAAATGACATATGAGAAATCGATTTGGAGAGCCAGCAGGTGCCAGTGATGTCATGCACATGTCAGTGATGATGCAGTAAGAGAGCCAGCAGGTGCCAGTGATGTCATGCACATGTCAGTGATGATGGAGTAAGAGAGCCAGCAGGTGCCAGTGATGTCATGCACATGTCAGTGATGATGGAGTAAAAGAGCCAGCAGGTGCCAGTGATGTCATGCACATGTCAGTGATGATGCAGAAAGAGAGCCAGCAGGTGCTAGTGATGTCATGCACATGTCAGTGATGATGGAGTAAGAGAGCCAGCAGGTGCCAGTGATGTCATGCACATGTCAGTGATGATGGAGTAAGAGAGCCAGCAGGTGCCAGTGATGTCATGCACATGTCAGTGATGATGCAGTAAGAGAGCCAGCAGGTGCCAGTGATGTCATGCACATGTCAGTGATGATGGAGTAAGAGAGCCAGCAGGTGCCAGTGATGTCATGCACATGTCAGTGATGATGGAGTAAGAGAGCCAGCAGGTGCCAGTGATGTCATGCACATGTCAGTGATGATGCAGAAAGAGAGCCAGCAGGTGCTAGTGATGTCATGCACATGTCAGTGATGATGGAGTAAGAGAGCCAGCAGGTGCCAGTGATGTCATGCACATGTCAGTGATGATGGAGTAAGAGAGCCAGCAGGTGCCAGTGATGTCATGCACATGTCAGTGATGATGGAGTAAGAGAACCAGTGATGTCATGCACATACTAGTGATGATGCAGTAAGAGAGCCACCTGGTGCCAGTGATGTCATGTACATATCAGTGATGATGCAACAGCGGACAGCAGGTGTCAGCTGCCATGCACCACCAAGTTGCTTTTTAAGATAATGTGGGGAAGGGAACGACATTTAGAGCAGAACAAACCTTCACGAAGACAACATTTCACTCACGAAGGCCTTCATTATGTCAGGACCTGATATAACTCTTCTTAAGAAAAGTGTGATTTTAATTAAGACTTTGTTCTAAGAGTCTATATTTATCAGTACTCTTCCTTCCCACCGGGAAAAAGGGAGTGAGAGATAAACAGGAAGCCAAACTAATGAAGAGATCTCGAAGGTAAGAAAATTCTCTTGAAAGAAGTGCAACTGGAAACGAAAATGGACGGTAAGATAGCACAAGAGGTAAAGGAGATAACAGGCACAGCTGGAAAATGGACGGTAAGATAGCATAAGAGGTAAAGGAGATAACAGGCACAGCTGGAAAATGGACGGTAAGATAGCTTAAGAGGTAAAGGAGATAACAGGCACAGCTGGAAAAGACGAAATAAGAGAACCAATGAGAGCCATTATTCAAATAAAATGTTGAGAAAGGAGATACATGAGGAGCATAAGCAACAAAGAGTGATAAAAACGACAAAGACCAGGGTAATGAGTAGCTAGGAACCAATATGTAAAAGTATATGATGGGAAGCTAAGGGACAATCGAAAATTAAATATATCATACAAGGTGAGACAGTGGGACGTGACGGGTTGTGTTACCGTGTTGTGTTGTGTGTGTGTGTGTGTGTGTGTTCGCACATGGTATCATTCGCTGACCCGACACATACTCGTGCCTTCTGACGCCAACGTTGTATCCCAGGAGGTCACCGTGGTGTGTGTGGGAGGGCGGCGAGTCCCACATCACTCTCAGGCTGCTGGGTGACAGCGCGTCAGCCCGTACACTGGTAGGAGGGGCTGAAGGTGCCTCTCCCTCCGTCCGCACCTAAGAATATAAACTTCACATGAATCTTTAATTTGCTTTTCGAAGACAAAATAAAAGGTATTTGCATCCTAGTGGTTCAAAAGATTTCTATATATTAGTAATTATTGTTGTTTACCTGCTTCTGGATACCATTATAGAAGTACACTTATACTGCATCTAACTCTCGAAACTGGGTTTAACAATCATACAGTCTCACTCTTAACCCTCTGTGGTGCATTTATTTTCTTTTATATAAGCTAGAAAATTATATCCATGAGGTAAATCTCTCTTTTTTTTCACCACTTACAATCAGGGTACGTATTGAAGGCGCCTGAGACCTTGTCGTACTTTCCACTGACGGTAAGAGTGCAGCTTCTCCCCATCCAGGAGATTCCATATCCTTTGTAAACCCTCGTCCGAGACTCTTGTTAATTTTCTTCAGTTTCGTTAACACCTTCCTGCAACTCCGAACTCGTCTAAAACTCTGCGGCATCCCTATCTTCATTAGCACAAACACTTCGACTGGTCTGACACCGTACAGCGATTAATGGACAGAGGATCAAGATTGCACCACTCCTTTCGCTGAATGACCCACATGGTTATAGTACTTAATGAATTATAATATATTACAAATATAAATTTTTATTATAAGCATGGGGGAGCGTTAAATCCATAGGATTATACAGCGCATGTGGGGGGGGGGGTGGAAGGTATTCAGACTCGATTCAGGGAACCGGAGCACAGATCCAATTCCATAGATCAAGAGCCCCTCACCAGCGTCATGGAACCTCCCTTGAGGGGATTAGAAATATAAAGCATCTCAATCACGAGTGAAGACTGACCTGAAGAGGCTCTGAGTGAGGAGATGATCCCAGGTGGTTAGCTGCGAGAATTCTGACCAAATATTGTGTGTCTGGCACCAGAGGAGCCAGCCTCGCTGTTGTGGTGTCGCCACCTACACCCACTTCCTCGCCCTCCGCCCACGACGCTACGGAAGAGTGGGCAAGAAAACAGGAGAGCTAGAAGAGGTTAAAACAGTTCTATAAGGTCACAATATGAAGAATAAGCTTGTATTGTTCTTAAATGTGACTTTACACACAAACAATGTGCTTGTGTATTCAGTTGACACCGTCAACACACGTTGATGAGCAGTCTTTTACTGGAACGACGTTTCACCCTTGACTTGACGAAGCTCTACCCAGAGGGAAACGTTCTCCAAATATCTGGGCATTTTTTCTGCAGCGTGTCTTCAAAATGTTAGTGAGAGATTCGACAAACAAACGAAGACGATGCTAGGATCCCACATGTTCAAAACACACTGAATAAAACAGGAAAATAAATTAGTTTGACCTCCCTTGGGCGCTTTCCGTGAGGCCTTATCCTGGAAATTAAATATTCGAAATAAATATGGAAAAAACATTGCATTTAATTAAAAAAAGTCGTACCCAATAATTGCAAATTGCTCTGGAGTTCGTTTCTGTGTAATTTTAATTAAAGCGGCATATACCAGTTAGTGCTATCAGAAATCTGCTTCATTAACCAATATATGTTGGGTGAAGAGAACCCGTGACTGTACGGTACATTGCTGACCGGTGCATGGCAACACTTCCCAGCACCGTACGATACAGTGATCACTAGTGCCCACCACCGTGTGGTACAGTAATTACTAGTGTATGCTACACTGCCCAGCACCGTATGATACAGTGATCACTAGTGCATGGTACACTGCCCACCACCATACGATACAGTGATCACTAATGCATGGTACATTGCTCAGCACCGTACGATACAGTGATCGCTAGTGCATGGTACACTGCCCACCACCGTACGATACAGTGATCACTAATGCATGGTACACTGCCCACCACCGTACGATACAGTGATCAATAGTGCATGGTACACTTCCCAGCACCGTACGATACAGTAATCACTAGTGCATGGTACACTGCCCAGCACCGTATGGTACAGTGATCAATAGTGCATGGTACACTGCCCACCACCGTATGGTACAGTAATTACTAGTGCATGGTACACTGTCCAACATCGTATGGTACAGTAATCACTTGTGCATGGTACACTGCTCACCAGTGTATGGTACAGTGCTGACAGGTGCGTGGTACATAATGAATGATGCATAAGAACAGTACCTAAATCTGGCTCTTGCTTAATCATTAACACCTAATTAATTACACCCAATTAATTAGGTTTTAATTACATCTAATTAATTTAGATAACAAATATATCAATTATTAATTAATTATTCATTTATTATGTTCATAACACACTCCTAGAAAGGTAAATACATATTTTTTATCAATTAAAATAGTATAATAAGTTAATTAATTAATCATTTTATCAATTAGTTAATTATTATATTAATGAATTTCTTAATTTATTAAATTAATTTTTAATGATATTTATTAATTAGTTTGTTAATTTAACAATTATTTATCTAAATACTTTACACACGCCTGGATAACTAATTACTTAAATACTTTTAAGTAATTAATCATAAAATGAAACAAGCAATTAATATAATTATATTTAACCATACATGTGGCTGGCCATATGTACATCTGTCACATCTATATTACATGTGCACCCATCATATCTATATCACATATGTATCTGTAACGTTTATATATACATTTGTCATGTATATATTACGTGTACATCTTTCACATTTATATATGCATCAGTGACATTCATACAGGGTGTTTCAAAGAGATGGAACCATTTTCAGAACAGTATGCTATGAAATTAGGTCTATCGATTTGAAACACACTGTATATTAGGTACCTCTAGTGGAAATGTTTACAAAGATTCAACATTTAGACCTACTTAGAGCAAAAAGTTGTCCCAATACAGGCTTGCTGTTTTTGTCCACACACACACACACACACACACACAAACAAACACACACACACACACACACACACACATACACACACACACACACACACACCTGCTGGTGCTACGCCCTTCCAACCTACCTCTGACGGGTTTGTACTGGACGATGTACTTGTCGACAGGTGTGTGGGAGGTTGTAGTGGGTTGTAGCCATGATACGCTGAGGTATCGAGATCCTCGCTCCGACACCCTCAGGCCGTGAGGGGATCCAGGCACGTCTGAGGGGAGAAGAAAAGGATGGAGGGGAAATTTAGGAGATTTAGGTGAGTGGGAGTGTCAGTTCAAGGGACAAAGGGGAGTTTTTACACCACCCCTCTCACAAGTTTTATGTGTTTTTTTCTATTTTAATGTGTTATGCATGTGAAACATGTGGATTCATGTGACACATGTATATTTATACATATGATACGTATTGATTTTTACATATAACATATGTAGATTTACACATGTGGCAAATGTAGATTCACACATGTGACACATGTAGATTCACACATGTGACACATGTAGATTCACACATGTGACACATGTAGATTCACACGTGACACATGTAGATTCATATATACAACAAGTGCAGATTTGTGGCTGATACATGGAGATACATACATGTGGCACTTGTAGATTCTTACATATGACACTGAAGATTCATACGTACGACACATGTCAATTCGTGCAAATGAAGATTCACACAAAACACGTGAAAATTAACACATAAAACACCTGTAAAGTCATACATTTAAATGTAGATGTTTCAAATTATTATTCACAATTCACTAAAGTCTCTCTTATCTTTTATTATTATTTTCATTGTTATTCAACTCTTATTTACTCCTTCACCCTCTCTCGCCCATTCCCTTCATCCCTCTATGCCCCCCTCTTCACTTTTTCAATATTTCTGACCTTTCTCTTCTCATTCCATCTCTACACGCCCTCCATGCCTTTCGTCATCATCTTCTCCCTAATGACCTACGCAGGCCATCCTTCCCAATCTTCTCTCCCCAGCATCCTCCCCCTCCCTAGCATCCTCCCGTTCCCCAGCATCCTCCCGTTCCCCAGAATCCTCCCCTCGCCACGACCCTCCCTTCCCCCAGCACCTACCCTGGACAACAAGTTTGACAACAAAGGAGTCAGTGCCGTAGGTGTTGGAAGCAGTACAGGTAAACTCTCCAGCATCTTCCATCTTGACTGAAGGGATCACCAGCTCTCCCCTCACTCCCCCTGGCACCTCACGCACCACGCTAAGGGGAAGATAATATTATAAGGGAAAAACCATATGAAAATGGCACTCGTAAGAACATATAAATAAAAGGAAAACTTTACAGTAGAGACTTGAACTTGAAACAAGTTAATAATCAATAGATGATTAATACCCACCAGGTGACATGTGTGGTCACTCAAGGATCAGTACTTACTCAGATAATAGGTCATGAAATATCTTGTAATATTGCTAAGAATAGTGAAATATCGTTCAAGCTACCTAATAGATCGTGAAATATCGTTTATTCTAGCTAAGAGGCCATGAGCTATGCAATAAAGTTAAGAGGTCATGCAACATCGAGTAATGAAGCTAAGAAGTTATGACATATTTTGTAATCCAGCTGAGGATAAGATGTTACGATATACCGCGGAAAGTTACCTGGTGTTCGTCTTTGTTAAGTAGCGATTTTCTTTATCTTAACAATTAATGTAAATTAAGACAATATTTTAGGGTAAAACAATTAATTAAGGCAGTGTTAGATAAGGCTTTTTAATGAGCTGAGGAAGACAACAGTTTTTAGCTCATTAATAAAGGTAGGAACTCTTAACCTAACCTTATAAAAAGCTTTTTGTAATAAAACATGGAGATAATTTAAGATTATCAAGAGTTATTAAAAAAATTAATGCATAAAGTGTGTGCCTTTCATGGGACATGACTTGATGCGAAGATCTCAACTACACAGTAACAGCCATAACGAAGTGTTTACAGTTATGAGAGGAATTTATCAAGTGAGATGGGACACCTTCAGCACACACACACACACACACACACACACACACACACACACACACACACACACACACACACACACACACACACACACACACACACACACACACAAACACACACACACACACACACACACACACACACACACAAACACACACACACACACACACAAACACACACATACACACAAACACACACACACACACACACACACACACACACACCACACACACACACACACACAAACACACATACACACACAAACCACACACACACACACACACACACACACACACACAAACACACACACACACACACACAAACATGGGAAGAACAGAACGAGTCCTTGGTTCACCCAAAGGTGTAGGGAGGCAAAAACTAGGTGTACTAGAGAATGGAAAAGGTACAGAAGACAGAGAACTCAGGAAAATAAAGAAATCAGCCGAAGAGCCAGAAACGAATATGCACAGATAAGAAGGGAGGCTCAGAGACAATATGAAAATGACATAGCATCAAAAGTAAAGACTGACCCGAAGCTGTTGTACAGCCACATCAGGAGGAAAACAACAGTCAAGGACCAGGTAATCAGACTGAGGAAGGGTGATGGGGAATTCACAAGAAACGACCGAGAGGTATGTCAGGAGCTCAACACAAGATTTAAAGAGGTATTTACAGTGGAAACCAGTAGGACTCCAAGAAATTAGAACAGGGGGGCACACCAGCAAGTGCTGGATGAGGTACATATAACCAAGGAGGAGGTGAAGAAGCTGCTATGCGAACTTGACACCTCAAAGGCGGGGGACCAGACAACATCTCTCCATGGGTCCTTAAAGAGGGAGCAGAGATACTGTGTGAGCCATTAACAAAGATCTTCAACACATCATTTGAAACTGGGCAACTCCCTGAGGTATGGAAAATGGCAAATGTAGTCCCAATTTTTAAAAAGGGAGACAGACATGAGGCACTAAACTACAGACCTGTATCACTAACGTGTATAGTATGCAAGGTCATGGAGAAGATCATCAGGAGGAGAGTGGTGGGGCACCTGGAAAGAAACAAGTGTATAATTGACAACCAGCACGGTTTCAGGGAAGGAAAATCCTGTGTCACAAACCTACTAGAGTTTTATGACAAGGTGACAGAAGTAAGACAAGAGAGAGAGGGGTGGATCGACTGCGTATTTTTGGACTGCAAGAAGGCCTTCGACACAGTTCCTCACAAGAGGTTACTGCAAAAGCTAGAGGACCAGGCACACATAAACAGGAAAGGCACTGCAATGGATCAGAGAATATCTGACAGGGAGGCAACAACGAGTCATGGTACGCGACGAGGTGTCAGAGTGGGCGCCTGTGACAAGCGGGGTTCCACAGGGGTCAGTCCTAGGACCTGTGCTGTTCTTGGTATACGTGAACGACATAACGGAAGGGATAGACTCAGAAGTGTCCTTGTTTGCAGATGATGTGAAGTTAATGAGAAGAATCGAATCGGACGAGGATCAGGCAGGACTACAAAGAGACCTGGACAGGCTACAAGCCTGGTCCAGCAACTGGCTCCTTGAATTTAACCCTGCCAAATGCAAAGTCATGAAGATTGGGGAAGGCAAAGAAGACCGCAGACACAATATAGTTTAGATGGCCAAAGACTGCAAACCTCACTCAAGGAAAAAGATCTGGGGGTGAGTATAACACCGAGCATATCTCCTGAGGCGCACATCAATCAGATAACTGCTGCAGCATATGGGCGCCTGGAAAACCTACGGATAGCGTTCCGATACCTCAGTAAGGATTCGTTTAAGACTCTGTACACCATCTACGTCAGGCTCATACTGGAGTATGCAGCACCAGTTTGGAATCCACACCTAGTCAAGCACGTCAAGAAATTAGAGAAAGTGCAAAGGTTTGCAACAAGACTAGTCCCAGAGCTACGGGGATTGTCCTGTGAAGAAAGGTTGAGGGAAATCGGCCTGACGACACTGGAGGCCAGGAGGGTCAGGGGAGACATGATAACGACATATAAAATACTGCGCGGAATAGACGAGGTGGACAAAGACGGGATGTTCCAGAGATGGGACACAGACACAAGAGGTCACAATTGGAAGTTGAAGACTCAGATGAATCAAAGGGATGTTAGGAAGTATTTCTTCAGTCATAGAGTAGTCAGGCCATGGAATAGCCTAGAAAGTGATGTGGTGGAGGAAGGAACCATACATAGTTTTAAGGCGAGGTATGATAGAGCTCATGGGGCAGGGAGAGAGAGGACCTAGTAGCAATCAGCGAAGAGGCGGGGCCAGGAGCTGTGAATCGACCCCTGCAACCACAAATAGGTGAGTACAAATAGGTGAGCACACACCCACACACACACACACACACACACACACACACACACACACACACACACACAACACACACACACACACACACACACACACACACACACACACACACACACACAACACACACACACACACACACACACACACACACACACACACACACACACACACACACACACACAAACACACACACACACAAACACACACACACACAACACACACACACACACACACACACACAACACACACACACACACACACACACACACACACACACACACACACACACACCACACACACACACACACACACACACACAACACACCACACACACACACACACACACACACACACACACACACACACACACACACACACACACACACACACACACACACACACACACACACACACACACGAAAGTACAACTATCCTATGAAAGATTTTATACAGTCCGTTCCTATGCATTAAATAACAATTGACATAATTAAACAACTGTTTAAAGATCAAACATAATTTACCATTCAGGGAAATAAAGGTTATTCAGCAATTGTTATTCATTTTTTAACTCAGAAAATTTTGTATTAAAAAAACATCCATATTTTTTCCTTCTAAATATAACAAAATAAAATATAGTATATATTAAAATTTCAGTAACATGACACACTAACATGGTGCGATGTTCATATATTTTTTTAATCATTAATATATATATATATATATATATATATATATATATATATATATATATATATATATATATATATATATATATATATATATATATACAGAGAGAGAGAGAGAAGAGAGGGAGAGAGAGAGAGAGAGAGAGAGAGAGAGAGAGAGAGAGGAGAGAGAGAGAGAGAGAGAGAGAGAGAGAGAGAAGAGAGAGAGAGAGAGAGAGAGAGAGAGAGAGAGAGAGAGAGAGAGAGAGAGAGAGGAAATATTTCAGTGAGACACCTGTCATGAGAGTTAATAAATAATTAAAAATGAGAGGGCGTTAATTTGCAATTTTTATTGTGTTGTATGTTGGTATACTGTGTTGCATGTTGGTATATTGTGTTGTATGTTGGTATATTGTGTTGTATGTTGGTATATTGTGTTGTATGTTTGTATATTGTGTTGTATGTTGGTATATTGTGTTGTATGTTGGTATATTGTGTTGTATGTTTGTATATTGTGTTGTATGTTGGTATATTGTGTTGTATGTTGGTATATTGTGTTGTATGTTGGTATATTGTGTTGTATGTTGGTATATTGTGTTGTATGTTGGTATACTGTGTTGTATGTTAGTATATTGTGTTGTATGTTCGTATATTGTGTTGTATATTGATATATTGTGTTGTATGTTGGTATATTGTGTTGTATGTTGGTATATTGTGTTGTATGGTGGTATATTGTGTTGTATGTTGGTATATTGTGTTGTATGTTGGTATATTGTGTTGTATGTTGGTATATTGTGTTGTATGTTGGTTATACTGTGTTGTATGTTGGTATACTGTGTTGTATGTTGGTATATTGTGTTGTATGTTGGTATATTGTGTTGTATGTTGGTATATTGTGTTGTATGTTGGTATATTGTGTTGTATGTTGGTATATTGTGTTGTATGTTGGTATATTGTGTTGTATGTTGGTATATTGTGTTGTATGTTGGTATATTGTGTTGTATGTTTGTATATTGTGTTGTATGTTGGTATATTGTGTTGTATGTTGGTATATTGTGTTGTATGTTTGTATATTGTGTTGTATGTTGGTATATTGTGTTGTATGTTGGTATATTGTGTTGTATGTTGGTATATTGTGTTGTATGTTGGTATATTGTGTTGTATGTTGGTATACTGTGTTGTATGTTAGTATATTGTGTTGTATGTTCGTATATTGTGTTGTATATTGGTATATTGTGTTGTATGTTGGTATATTGTGTTGTATGTTGGTATATTGTGTTGTATGGTGGTATATTGTGTTGTATGTTGGTATATTGTGTTGTATGTTGGTATATTGTGTTGTATGTTGGTATATTGTGTTGTATGTTGGTATACTGTGTTGTATGTTGGTATACTGTGTTGTATGTTGGTATATTGTGTTGTATGTTGGTATATTGTGTTGTATGTTGGTATATTGTGTTGTATGTTGGTATATTGTGTTGTATGTTGGTATATTGTGTTGTATGTTGGTATATTGTGTTGTATGTTGGTATATTGTGTTGTATGTTGGTATATTGTGTTGTATGTTGGTATATTGTGTTGTATGTTGGTATATTGTGTTGTATGTTGGTATATTGTGTTGTATGTTGGTATATTGTGTTGTATGTTGGGATATTGTGTTGCATGTTGGTATATTGTGTTGTATGTTGGTATATTGTGTTGTATGTTGGTACATTGTGTTGTATGTTGGTACATTGTGTTGTATGTTGGTATATTGTGTTGCATGTTGGTATATTGTGCTGTATGTTGGTATATTGTGTTGCATGTTGGTATATTGTGTTGCATGTTGGTATATTGTGTTGTATGTTGGTATATTATGTTGTATGTTGGTATATTGTGTTGTATGTTGGTATATTGTGTTGTATGTTGGTATATTGTGTTGTATGTTGGTATATTGTGTTGTATGTTGGTATATTGTGTTGTATGTTGGTATATTGTGTTGTATGTTGGTGTATTGTGTTGAATGTTGGTATATTGTGTTGTATGTTGGTATATTGTGTTGTATGTTGGTATATTGTGTTGAATGTTGGTATATTGTGTTGTATGTTGGTATATTGTGTTGCATGTTGGTATATTGTGTTGTATGTTGGTATATTGTGTTGTATGTTGGTATATTGTGTTGTATGTTGGTATATTGTGTTGTATGTTGGTATATTGTGTTGTATGTTGGTATACTGTGTTGTATGTTGGTATATTGTGTTGTATGTTGGTATATTATGTTGTATGTTGGTATATTTTGTTGTATGTTGGTATATTGAGTTGCATGTTGGTATATTGAGTTGCATGTTGGTATATTGTATTGTATGTTGGTATATTGTGTTGTATGTTGGTATACTGTGTTGTATGTTGGTATATTGTGTTGCATGTTGGTATATTGTGTTGTATGTTGGTATATTGTGTTGTATGTTGGTATATTGTGTTGTATGTTGGTATATTGTGTTGTATGTTGGTATATTGTGTTGTATGTTGGTATATTGTGTTGTATGTTGGTATATTGTGTTGTATGTTGGTATATTGTGTTGCATGTTGGTATATTGTGTTGCATGTTGGTATATTGTGTAGTATGTTGGTATATTGTGTTGCATGTTGGTATATTGTGTTGCATGTTGGTATATTGTGTTGCATGTTGGTATATTGTGTTGCATGTTGGTATATTGTGTTGCATGTTGGTATATTGTGTTGCATGTTGGTATATTGTGTTGCATGTTGGTATATTGTGTTGCATGTTGGTATATTGTGTTGCATGTTGGTATATTGTGTTGTATGTTGGTATATTGTGTTGTATTTTGGTATATTGTGTTTCATGTTGGTATATTGTGTTGTATGTTGGTATATTGTGTTGTATGTTGGTATATTGTGTTGTATGTTGGTATATTGCGTTGTATGTTGGAATATTGTGTTGTATGTTAGTATATTGTGTTGTATGTTGGTATGTTGTGTTGCATGTTGGTATATTGTGTTGCATGTTGGTATATTGTGTTGCATATTGGTATATTGTGTTGTATGTTGGTATATTGTGTTGTATGTTGGTATATTGTGTTGTATGTTGGTATATTGTGTTGTATGTTGGTATATTGTGTTGCATGTTGGTATATTGTGTTGTATGTTGGTATATTGTGTTGTATGTTGGTATATTGTGTTGTATGTTTGTATATTGTGTAGTACGTTGGTATATTGTGTTGTATGTTGGTATATTATGTTGTATGTTGGTATGTGTTGTACGTTGGTATATTGTGTTGTATGTTGGTATATTGTGTTGCATGTTGGTATATTGTGTTGTATGTTGGTATATTGTGTTGTATGTTGGACTAATATGTTGTATGCTGGTATACTGTGTTGTATGCTGGTATATTGTGTTGGATGTTGGTATGAGGCCTGGTCACAGTCCGGGCCGCGAGGGCGTTGACCTCCGAAACCTTTCCAGGTATTCTGTGTTGTATGCTGGTATATTTTGTTGTATATTGGTATAATATGTTGTATGTTGGTATATTATGTTATATGCTGGTATACTGTGTTGTAAGTTGGTATATTGTGTTGTATGCTGGTATACTGTGTTGTATGTTGGTATACTGTGTTGTATGCTGTTATACTGCGTTGTATGCTGGTATATTGCCTTGTATGTTGGTATATTGTGTTGTATATTATATTCAGGTGACAAAAATATTGGAGAAAAAAGAATCAGCAGAGAGCAATAGATAAGGTGATCAGTCAGTCAGATTTGAAAACGAAATAATTTTGATGTGGTCAGTTCCTGAGCCTTGAGAAATGATCAGCTCTATAGTCCCGATGACTGGAGCTGATCCCTTCTCAAGACTAAGGGACTGATCATCTCCAAATTGTTTTTTCAAGGCTTAGGGACTAGCCTCTTCAAATCTGAAGGACTGACAATCTGAACATGACTTGTTCAAGGCTGAGGGACTGGCCACCACCTCGTATTTACCCTAAAACTGCTTCTGCTGGTTCCAATGTTTTAATGACCTTTGTATTCGATTGAAAGTAACCTTCAGAGGAGACGAAAATTTCCAGCTTATTCTGTTTGTCAGTATTCAATATTAATTCAAGTATTTTTTTTAAGTTAACAGGAGAACTCCAGGGGAAGTGGCTCACCTGAGGTCGTGGGCGTGGGTATGGGTGGCCTGCCAGATGAGTGTGATGGGCGGGTCACCATGAACGTGGCAAAGGAGCGAGGCTCTAGCTCCCCGTCTCACAGATACGACCTGATGTAGTCCCGAGTCGAACCTGGGAGGTGCTGGTGAGGAATACAGTGAGAGGCGACATTTATCATATGATAATGAAGGGATCCTTGATATAAGGAAATGTCTCTACATTTCCCTTCCTTTAACATTATTACCGTGGAGAATAAAAAGGGAGAAAACCGTGGCTGGAATAATACATAATTCACCCGCACATAAGTGAAAGAAATTTATGAGGACGTTTCGGTCCGACTTGAACCATTAACTAGTTAACGGTCCAAGTCGTGTGATGTGCTAAGGTTAAGTGTGTGTGTGTGATGTGCCAAGGTTAAGTGTGTATGTGATGTACCAAGGTTAAGTGTGTGTGTGTGATGTGCCAAGGTAAAGTGTGTATGTGATGTGCCAAGATAAAGTGTGTGTGTGATTTACCAAGGTAAAGTGCGTATGTGATGTACCAAGGTTAAGTGTGTGTGTGTGATGTGCCAAGGTAAAGTGCGTATGTGATGTGCCAAGGTTAAGTGTGTGTGTGTGATGTGCCAAGGTAATGTGTGTGATGTGCCAAGGTAAAGTGTGTGTGTGTGGTGTGCCAAGGTAAAGTGTGTGTGTGTGTGATGTGCCAAGGTAAAGTGTGTGTGTGTGTGTGATGTGCCAAGGTAAAGTGTGTATGTGATGTGTGAGAGACTGAGTTACTAATTTTACCTGGGTTGTTAAAAATTACCTCCCATTTATATTAATTTATATTTATACTGATTTATATTTATATTAATCTCCCACTTATATTAATACTTTTAAGCTCATATTTTAATGTAAATTACATAGATTTTTATTTTCGATATTGTGTAATTAGGTATTAATTATTAATACGTCTTTGTTGGACTACTTACTGGATGGTCTTTGGTTACATTAGCATAACATAATGAGATCATTAGCGTCATACGAGGTCACGAGTGTGTCTGAGTGGTAAGAGAGGTCAGAGTGAGGTGGACAATGATTATGTAGCGTACCTAAGGAATTGTGCTCTTTTGGGACAATTTTTTCTACAATCTCCATTGCTACAAGTAAGTGTAGAACTTCCATTCCAAAAAGTAGAATATAAGATACGTAGGTGTTGTTCATAATTGTTTGAGAGGAGTTTTGTTGACTTAGAGAATCTATTTTGTCGTACTGTGTATATTTGCATTTAAGAGTAAACTAAATTGTATTTAAGACATTTTTCGCCTTTATTAATCATTTATTTTTTTTATTTCTTCTAGTGTAGCTGAAAATTCATACCTTTCAGGCTGTCATTCACTTAGTCCCACCCACTCGACACTCATGAATAAAAGAATAATAATATACGAGTCTCGGTGGTAGGACATGTAGCAATGTATTGTTGACAGTTGGCAGGAGATTATCCCAGCACTGTAACACTCGTAAGTCTTCGTCAAGAAGCGTTGTGCTGATTATATGATGGCGGTGGTTTACTGGTCAGTAAACAGAACAGAACCTCACTATAATTCCTAACATTATAATGTTAGCAGATATTCTGAGCGTGGACGCGAACACAAAGTTATATAGAGGTGTTATGATGTGCTGTCTTAATAGGACTGATTTATGGTATTGTGCGGAGATAGATTGGTGTGTAGTATTATGTATGTATGTTGGGTTTGTGGTGTCGTGTAGAACTTATTATGCTGGGGATTTTGTGGATATCTTGCCTAACTGGGAATATATTACGATTTAAATTTATTTTATATTAAACGAATAATGTATTCAGCGAAATCAGAGAATTATGTGGAAAATATAATACTCTCTGTTTTGATATACATATATTTTAAAGAAGTGCAATCAGCACATAATTACGTAATAACGAGAGACAGACAACGACTGACTATGTACAAAAATCAGCCTGACGATATATGCAAATCCTGTAAAATAAAACATTGGAAAAGTTACGAAATTAGCTCCGTGTAATTAATGCAGCAAATCACACACGCAAAAAGAATATAATTTTAAATATGCATGAGAAACATCACAGCTGAAATTACCAGTAGGACATAAATACATATATTTATTTTATATATACATATAATTATATTATGTTATACATATATATATATATATATATATATATATATATATATATATATATATATATATATATATATATATATATATATATGTATAACATAATATAATTTTATGTATATATATATCGTGCCGAATATGTAAAACTGGTCAATTAGCAAGAACTCATTTAAAATTAAGTCCTTTCTAAAATTTTCTCTTATGCGTTTAAAGATATATTTTTTTCATTAATGTTAATGTAAAAACTTTAAATTTTGCACCAAAAGAATCTTAGAAAACTTACCTAACCTTATTATAACAAGAACAATTTATTTTAGCCTAACCAACTAAATATATTTTAGATTTGTTTACAATAATTTAATACTAAACAAACACAGTGAAATATATTTTTTTCGTTAGGTTCAGAATGATTTTGGCGAAATTATTGCATACACAAATTTTCACTTGTCCTATATGGCAAGATGAGCGTTGCTATTTAAGCCAAGATCGCAAGTTCTGCCTATTCGGCACGACATATATATATATATATATATATATATATATATATATATATATATATATATATATATATATATATATATATATATATAGATCGATAGATAGATAAATAAATAAATAATCAGTTTTAGCAAAGAACAAGATCATTCATGTTGGGAATCAATTAAATTTTATGTATTTAAATGTATTCGAAAAAATGCATTCCAACACCATAACATTTGTTATATAAATATTACTTTGTATAAAGAGAATTTTTCCTTAATAATTATAATGTCAATATTAATTATTAAAGCAACAGGATGCAAACAACGTCTCACATTTATTAAAATTATTTCAATAAAATTCAATGAAAATGAAGCCTTTTTGAAACAATAAAAATATTTATATTTCCTCCTTTTTCTGATTTATTTTTAGCTCTATTTTGACCGAGAAATTTGTCCAGTTTATGGATATCAGAATTTATTGCGCATCGTGTATAATAAAAGAGTTTCCTTCAGTATTTCAGCTTGCCTCACGAAATCGTAACGAAACGATTACAAACAAGCCACGGCACGGGTGAGGATTGAACTCGTGGCAAGTGCTTCGTGATTTTTTGAACGTGAATAATGTTCAAATCATGAAGACTAAAGACGGTGAAAGTTCCTCCTGCCGGAGCCATCTCATAATACTGACCAGTGAAGCCACGTAGAAAGTTCACATTAATATCTGAACATCAGCGGAAAATCTATAGAATAAACATCATAAACATTATGAGAAAAAGAAAATAGGTGATACTGAGAAAGTAAAATGGAAATAACAGTGGATCCTTGAGTATCTGTAAGAAATGGAAGATTAAGAATAAAATATAATATGCAGTATCATGTTTCAGATGATGGTAATTATGTGCGACGAGAGATAAATTTTCAAGAGAAGTCAGAATATGTGACTTGTATAGGACATCAGCTGTTACAGAATACAAGTTGTGAACAGGTTTTGTATGTGACCATCTTTTACACATTAAGTCAACAGATAAAAAACTTATTATGTTGAGTGAAAGGACACAAGTGCAACTAATGGTCTCCAGGAGCTTTATCAAGCTGTTAGTAACGGCGAAACGTTGCCAAAATAAATGTCACATTAGTTACACTTGTGTCCTTTTACTTAACATATTGTTGGTATTTCTACCAACATTAAAGCAAAACTTATTATGTTTGCTAGAGCACAAAAAGAAATTGATACGATTTTCAGAAAATAATTGGGAAATGTAAGAGGTGGGTAAAAGTCGCAACCCCTTCCCCCTTTTCTCCTTCCTGTGGGCACCCATGGTAGTGTTTTCTTTATCAGGAAAGATGGGAAAATTTCTCCTGAAGCGGGTCATATGATGCACATCTTAGTAGACCTTTTGCTTATTTGAGAAATTAGCAGACGGAGGATCGAGCTTATAGACCGACACGGGTGTAGCAATCTAAGTGAATACCATAAGAAATAAATTCTAAATTCTAAAATTTATAAATATTGCATCATAAGATGTGGTATTCAAGAATTTCCTGTGAATTTAATAAGAAAGGATCACTTTTTCCTGACCAATGTTGATGTATCCAGAGCAGATTTTATTATTATAATCAAAAAGAAGAGCTAAACCACAAGGGCTATACAGCATCCAGAGCAGAGATTAGAATACAATCCAGAGATATTGTAAAAAGTCACTTAAAATATCAGGGTTGTGCACAGAAGAATTTAGATCATTAGTAAAGTCATTTATCACCGCTGAAATAACAAAGACATTTAATACAACATGAAGTCAAGGACCAAAGATCATTTTATAGGGTCCTCGAGATGAAAGACCATGTCCTGGGGTCTTCAAGTTCATTAGTCCTTTTATGGGGTGATCGATTTCAAAGACCACTTTCTATATACCTGGATCAAAGACCATTTTATAGGGTCCTCGAGGTCAAAGATCATATCTTGGGGTCTACGAGTTCATTAGTCCTTTTATGGGGTGCTTAATTTCAAAACCACGTTCTACCTTCCCGGACCAAAGACCACTTTATTGGCTCCTCGAGCATAGACCATGTCTTGGGGTTTTCGTGGCCAATTGCTCTTTTGTGGGGTGCTTGATTTCAAAGACCACTTTCTACCGTCCCGGACCGAAAACCACTTTTAGAGGTCCCAAATGCGATTGATGAGAGAGCTCACGCCCTCAAGGTTAAAAAAAATGTACGTTAATAATGGAGCATTTCAGGAATTGCAAATAGTAAGTGCAGGTCATAATCGTAGTGAGTTTTATTTTTTACGAGCGGTTCTTTTCAGACCGTATTTGATTTGGCGTTAATGATGCTGAGGCAGGAGGACTGGGGTGGCACCTACCACCACACGCTGTACAGAGGTGGCATCTACCACCACACTGTACAGAGGTGGCACCTACCACCACATGCTGTACAGAGGTGGCACCTACCACCACACGCTGTACAGAGGTGGCATCTACCACCACACACTGTACAGAGGTGGCACCTACCACCACACACTGTATAGAGGTGGCATCTACCACCACACACTGTACAGAGGTGGCACCTACCACCACACACTGTACAGAGGTGGCATCAACCACCACACACTGTACAGAGGTGACACCTACCACCACATGCTGTACAGAGGTGGCATCTACCACCACACACTGTACAGAGGTGGCATCTACCACCACACACTGTACAGAGGTGGTACCTACCACCACACACTGTACAGAGGTGGCATCTACCACCACACACTGTACAGAGGTGGCACCTACCACCACACGCTGTACAGAGGTGGCATCTACCACCACACACTGTACAGAGGTGGCACCTACCACCACATGCTGCACAGAGGGGGCACCTACCACCACACACTGTACAAGAGTGGCCCCTACCACCACACCCCTGTACAGGGGTGGCACCTACCACCACACGCTGTACAGAGGTGGCATCTACCACCACACACTGTACAGAGGTGGTACCTACCACCACACACTGTACAGAGGTGGCATCTACCACCACACACTGTACAGAGGTGGCACCTACCACCACACGCTGTACAGAGGTGGCATCTACCACCACACACTGTACAGAGGTGGCACCTACCACCACTTGCTGCACAGAGGTGGCACCTACCACCACACACTGTACAGAGGTGGCACCTACAACCACACGCTGTACAGAGGTGGCACCTACCACCACACGCTGTACAGAGGTGGCATCTACCACCACACACTGTACAGAGGTGGCACCTACCACCACATGCTGTACAGAGGTGGCTCCTACCACCACACGCTGTACAGAGGTGGCACCTACCACCACACGCTGTACAGAGGTGGCACCTACCACCACACGCTGTACAGAGGTGGCATCTACCACCACACACTGTACAGAGGTGGCACCTACCACCACATGCTGTACAGAGGTAGCACCTACCACCACACGCTGTACAGAGGTGGCACCTACCACCACATGCTGTACAGAGGTGGCATCTACCACCACACACTGTACAGAGGTGGCACCTACCACCACATGCTGTACAAAGGTGGCACCCACCACCACACACTGTACAGTGATGGAACCCGCCAACACACACTCTATACACAGGTGACACTCACCACTACACATTATATACAATATTTGACTTATATAGCGTAAGATAAAAAAAATCGTTACAAAATATACTCTGGACCTCTAAGAAATAGGTTTATTAAACTGAAAAATTAGCTGCGTAAAAAATTTACGTGATATAATTCCCTTGATTTGCTCAGATATAATTATTTTTATATTATATTTACAGTGAAAATGTTAAGTGAAAAAACTTATTAATCAGCATGTTTTGAACCACATAGACACATGTGCAACATCTAGGTGTCTTTAATAGAAGACGTTTCGCCCATCAATGACTATTAGTTTTTGTGTATTGATCTGGAAGACTGGGAGACTGATTAGCCCCATCTTCTACTGTCTTTATATATTATCTCTGTAATGAATTGGTATAGCCACTGGTGGGCGAAACGTCTTCTAATAATGATACCCAGGTGTTGCACATGTATAAAATTCCTCATCTTGTCGAGATTGAATACTACTGTTGTAGTCATACAGTGTATACTGTGTGTTAGTTTTGAGAAAATAAATTATCATTACACACACACACACACACACACACACACGCTGTTGCTGTCTTCCAGCCTACCTCCTAGGACCTCCCTGGGTGGTTGCTGTCTTCCAGCCTACCTCCTAGGACCTCCCTGGGTGGTTGCTGTCTTCCAGCCTACCTCCTAGGACCTTCCTGGGTGGTTGCTGTCTTCCAGCCTACCTCCTAGGACCTCCCTGGGTGGTTGCTGTCTTCCAGCCTACCTCCTAGGACCTCCCTGGGTTGTTACTGTCTTCCAGCCTACCTCCTAGGACCTCCCTGGGCGGTTGCTGTCTTCCAGCCTACCTCCTAGGACCTCCCTGGGCGGTTGCTGTCTTCCAGCCTACCTCCTAGGACCTCCCTGGGCGGTTGCTGTCTTCCAGCGTACCTCCTAGGACCTCCCTGGGCGGTTACTGTCTACCAGCCTACCTCCTAGGACCTCCCTGGGCGGTTGCTGTCTACCAGCCTACCTCCTAGGACCTCCCTGGGTGGTTGCTGTCTTCCAGCCTACCTCCTAGGACCTCCCTGGGCGGTTGCTGTCTTCCAGCCTACCTCCTAGGACCTCCCTGGGCGGTTGCTGTCTTCCAGCCTACCTCCTAGGACCTCCCTGGGCGGTTGCTGTCTTCCAGCCTACCTCCTAGGACCTCCCTGGGCGGTTGCTGTCTTCCAGCCTACCTCCTAGGACCTCCCTGGGTGGTTGCTGTCTTCCAGCCTACCTCCTAGGACCTCCCTGGGCGGTTGCTGTCTTCCAGCCTACCTCCTAGGACCTCCCTGGGCGGTTGCTGTCTTCCAGCCTACCTCCTAGGACCTCCCTGGGTGGTTGCTGTCTTCCAGCCTACCTCCTAGGACCTCCCTGGGTGGTTGCTGTCTTCCAGCCTACCTCCTAGGACCTCCCTGGGTGGTTGCTGTCTTCCAGCCTACCTCCTAGGACCTCCCTGGGTGGTTGCTGTCTTCCAACCTACCTCCTAGGACCTCCCTGGGCGGTTGCTGTCTACCATCCTACCTCCTAGGACCTTCCTGGGCGGTTGCTGTCTTCCAGCCTACCTCCTAGGACCTTCCTGGGCGGTTGCTGTCTACCAGCGTACCTCCTAGGACCTCCCTGGGTGGTTGCTGTCTACCAGCCTACCTCCTAGGACCTCCCTGGGTGGTTGCTGTCTACCAGCCTACCTCCTAGGACCTCCCTGGGTGGTTGCTGTCTACCAGCCCACCTCCTAGGACCTCCTAGGATTACATTATTATTACAATGATGTGATCAAAAACAGAAGTTACCATTAACGGTGAGTTTGACCAAGGCAGAGAGGCCTCCGCCCACACTGTTGGAAGCCTCACACAGGTACTGACCCTCGTCCTCCGCCCGGGCGCCCACAACCACCAGGCTACCGTTCGTAGCCACTCCCACGCCCAGACCTAGGCCACTACCTAGGATGGGGCTGTACTGTCCTGGCTGCTCCTCTGAAAGGTAACACCTCGTGTAATGAACAAGTAGTGAAAAAGTAATATAACTATTAATGTGTGTAATACAATGACACACTAATGTAGCCATTAATCTGGCACAATGAGTGAACAGGTAGGAAACAGGTAACGAACAAGCAGTTAACAGGTGATGAAGAACTGGAAATATCCTAACACCTGACGCCTCTCCCTCCAACACACGAATACATCAACAGTAGATAAAAAGCATTGACAACTTTTCACATATTTTTTTCCGGTATCTGGTTATAATTTATTGAAAATCACACTTTTTTTTCGCCCAAGTTAGTACTGAATATGTCAATACCTGCCTTTATCTCCAGCATTTAAAATGCTAACTCTGGGAGCAAAGACCAACAGAGGTGCACGTCTAAAAAATTTATTTTAGAAGAAAGGCAATTCCGAGGTTGTCCCTGACTACAAATATTTACAATTAAAATGGTGGCCTTTTTCTCAGCGAGGAAATTTCAATAGGTGTTCAAAACCCATGGAAAAAGTCGCAAGAATGAGGGGGGGGAAAAGTGTTTTTTTTATGAGTAGAGAGAAGGGTAAGGGAAAATAGAAATGTTGGGTAGGAAAGTAATAGGAAATGGGGAGGATAAAGAGTGAAGGAAAGTAGGAGGAGGGAGATGAGGGAAGCTGTAGTGTGGAGATGAAAAGAAAACAAAAGTAAGATGAGCTGAAGGGAGAGTGAAACGAAAGAAAGAGAAAAAGAGAATAGGAAGAGAGAGAAAGACGAGGAAAGAGGACGGAGACAGATGTAAAGAGAGAAATAAGAGACAAAAAAGAGGAAGGAGGGATGAAGAGGTGAAAATAAGACTGAAAAAGGTAATTGAAAGGAAGTGAGAGAGAGAAGGAGACGAAGGAAGTAGAAATAAGAGAGGCTATGGAGAAAAGAAGAAAGGGTATATAGGACAATATGAATAAAATATGAAATATTTCATAAAATCACTAATTGTATAAAGACTGAGATACCACATTAACTGAGTTTATGTAGTGTTCACTAACATGCATTTACATAATGATAAACATTTACTTAATGATAAACATTTACATAATGATAAACATTTACTTAATGATCAACATTTACATAATGATAAACATTTACATAATGATAAACATTTCCATAATGATAAACATTTACATAATCATAAACATTTACATAATCATAAATATTTACATAATGATAAACATTTACATAATGATAAACATTTACATAATGATAAACATTTACATAATAATAAACACACAAGAATAAGCCAGAGAAGTAAACATCATATGAAATCATTAATTGTTTGACTTTGATGTTGTTTTAAAATATTATAAATATTTGATGGAGGCTTCATTACCGTGAGACAATGCAAACTTCATTACCTTGAGGCAATGCAAGCTTCATTATCATGAGACAATGCAAGCTTCATTATCATGAGACAATGCAAGCTTCATTATCATGAGACAATGCAAACTTCATTATCAAGAGACAATGCAAGCTTCATTATCATGAGACAATGCAAACTTCATTATCAAGAGACAATGCAAGCTTCATTATCATGAGACAATGCAAGCTTCATTATCATGAGACAATGCAAACTTCATTACCATGAGACAATGCAAGCTTCATTATCATGAGACAATGCAAACTTCATTACCATGAGACAATGCAAGCTTCATTACCATGAGACAATGCAAACTTCATTATCATGAGACAATGCAAGCTTCATTACCATGAGACAATGCAACCTTCATTATCATGAGACAATGCAAGCTTCATTACCATGAGACAATGCAAGCTTCATTACCATGAGACAATGCAAGCTTCATTACCATGAGACAATGCAAGCTTCATTATCATGAGACAATGCAAGCTTCATTACCATGAGACAATGCAAGCTTCATTACCATGAGACAATGCAAGCTTCATTACCATGAGACAATGCAAGCTTCTTTACCATGAGACAATGCAAGCTTCATTACCATGACACAATGCAAGCTTCATTATCATGAGACAATGCAAGCTTCATTATCATGAGACAATGCAAGCTTCATTACCATGACACAATGCAAGCTTCATTACCATGCGACAATGCAAGCTTCATTACCATGAGACAATGCAAACTTCATTACCATGAGACAATGCAAGCTTCATTACCATGAGACAATGCAAACTTCATTATCATGAGACAATGCAAGCTTCATTACCATGAGACAATGCAAGCTTCATTACCATGAGACAATGCAAGCTTCATTACCATGAGACAATGCAAGCTTCTTTACCATGAGACAATGCAAACTTCATTACCATGAGACAATGCAAGCTTCATTACCATGAGACAATGCAAACTTCATTACCATGAGACAATGCAAGCTTCATTACCATGACACAATGCAAGCTTCATTATCATGAGACAATGCAAGCTTCATTATCATGAGACAATGCAAGCTTCATTACCGTGAGACAATGCAAGCTTCATTACCATGAGACAATGCAAGCTTCATTACCATGCGACAATGCAAGCTTCATTACCATGAGACAATGCAAACTTCATTACCATGAGACAATGCAAGCTTCATTACCATGAGACAATGCAAGCTTCATTATCATGAGACAATGCAAGCTTCATTACCATGAGACAATGCAAGCTTCATTATCATGAGACAATGCAAACTTCATTACCATGAGACAATGCAAGCTTCATTACCATGAGACAATGCAAACTTCATTACCATGAGACAATGCAAGCTTCATTATCATGAGACAATGCAAACTTCATTACCATGCGACAATGCAAGCTTCATTACCATGAGACAATGTAAGCTTCATTATCAGGAGACAATGCAAGCTTCATTACCATGAGACAATGCAAACTTCATTACCATGAGACAATGCAAGCTTCATTACCATGGCACAATGCAAGCTTCATTATCATGACACAATGCAAGCTTCATTATCATGAGACAATGCAAGCTTCATTACCATGAGACAATGCAAACTTCATTACCATGGCACAATGCAAGCTTCATTACCATGAGACAATGCAAGCTTCATTACCATGAGACAATGCAAGCTTCATTACCATGCGACAATGCAAGCTTCATTACCATGAGACAATGCAAACTTCATTACCATGAGACAATGCAAGCTTCATTACCATGAGACAATGCAAGCTTCATTATCATGAGACAATGCAAGCTTCATTACCATGAGACAATGCAAGCTTCATTATCATGAGACAATGCAAACTTCATTACCATGAGACAATGCAAGCTTCATTACCATGAGACAATGCAAACTTCATTACCATGAGACAATGCAAGCTTCATTATCATGAGACAATGCAAACTTCATTACCATGCGACAATGCAAGCTTCATTACCATGAGACAATGTAAGCTTCATTATCAGGAGACAATGCAAGCTTCATTACCATGAGACAATGCAAACTTCATTACCATGAGACAATGCAAGCTTCATTACCATGGCACAATGCAAGCTTCATTATCATGACACAATGCAAGCTTCATTATCATGAGACAATGCAAGCTTCATTACCATGAGACAATGCAAACTTCCTTACCATGGCACAATGCAAGCTTCATTACCATGAGACAATGCAAGCTTCATTATCATGAGACAATGCAAGCTTCATTACCATGGCACAATGCAAGCTTCATTATCATGAGACAATGCAAGCTTCATTATCATGAGACAATGCAAGCTTCATTACCATGAGACAATGCAAGCTTCTTTACCATGAGACAATGCAAGCTTCATTACCATGAGGCAATGCAAGCTTCATTACCATGAGGCAATGCAAGCTTCATTACCATGAGACAATGCAAGCTTCATTACCGTGAGACAATGCAAGTTTCATTACCATGACACAATGCAAGCTTCATTACCATGACACAATGCAAGCTTCATTATCATGAGACAATGCACGCTTCATTATCATGAGACAATGCAAGCTTCATTACCATGAGACAATGCACGCTTCATTATCATGAGACAATGCAAGCTTCATTACCATGAGACAATGCACGCTTCATTATCATGAGACAATGCAAGCTTCATTACCATGAGACAATGCAAGCTTCATTATCATGACACAATGCAAGCTTCATTATCATGAGACAATGCAAGCTTCATTACCATGAGACAATGCAAGCTTCATTACCATGGCACAATGCAAGCTTCATTATCATGAGACAATGCAAGCTTCATTATCATGAGACAATGCAAGCTTCATTACCATGAGACAATGCAAGCTTCATTACCATGGCACAATGCAAGCTTCATTACCATGCGACAATGCAAGCTTCATTACCATGAGACAATGCAAGCTTCATTACCATGGCACAATGCAAGCTTTATTACCATGAGACAATGCAAGCTTCATTACCATGGCACAATGCAAGCTTCATTACCATGAGACAATGCAAACTTCATTACCATGAGACAATGCAAGCTTCATTATCATGAGACAATGCAAACTTCATTACCATGAGACAATGCAAGCTTCATTACCATGAGACAATGCAAACTTCATTACCATGAGACAATGCAAACTTCATTACCATGAGACAATGCAAGCTTCATAATCATGACACAATGTAAGCTTCATTACCATGACATAATGCAAGCTTCATTACCATGACACAATGTAAACTTCATTACCATGAGACAATGCAAGCTTCATTACCATGACACACTGCAAAATTCATTACCATGAGACAATGCAAGCTTCATTATCATGACACAATGCAAGCTTCATTACCATGACATAATGCAAGCTTCATTACCATGACACAATGTAAACTTCATTACCATGAGACAATGCAAGCTTCATTACCATGACACAATGTAAACTTCATTACCATGAGACAATGCAAGCTTCATTACCATGGCACAATGCAAGCTTTATTACCATGAGACAATGCAAGCTTCATTATCATGAGACAATGCAAGCTTCATTATCATGAGAC